TTGGAATTTCAATTGCATTTCCACTCAAATATAAGGTAGATATTTTGGTGATTACATTTGGCGACAAATTGGAAATGCTTGGAGTTTCAAAAATGATTTAATTGTTTAATTGTAGAGATTTTCCATTTGGAAATCTGATTTGTTGGAATAAAATTAATGGAAGGAACAATTCAATTAATTTATCATCTAATTCACAATCGATGACTAGGATATTATTTCCGATCTTGTTTAGTATCTATGATATAATGCCTTCAGATTCAAAGGATCCAAAGAAATGGCTCAGTGGATAGGAGGACAAGTAAATCTTATGATAATCGGTCAATTGGCTGATTTGTAAGGACTTGCCTGTTAAGGATTCTCCAAATAACAACACATAACAATTATGGAGTAGGAGATCTTTTAATTAGGATTTGCTTTTCTCTTGTTTTGGCCAAATAGAGTGAATGATTTCTTAGAACTCTGGTTCTTGGAAGTTGATTTAGATGGCATTGTACATTCCATGGGTAAGGGCTTATTGAATGATCTACTTTATTTTAAACATGGAGATGTCACTCCTTTTAATTGATTGGTAGAGATAAACGAATTATTTTAGTTGTGTTATGGAATCATACAACTCATATTCTTAACTTATAAACTCTATGAAGATGGCTAGGTCTATTTTCTGGAAGTAGATGGGTCTAAAATAGTATCGTATTTCAGAGTTGATTGTATTTTTAGTACCACCAATCAAGAAGAAGGAGAAGGTTGGTTCAACTTTAATTGTGGAACCTTCCAATTCAATTTGATGAAGTGAATTACGAATGGCAAAGTATAATACTTTGACTAGCTGAACAAATATGGATAATAGATCTAATCTCATCTAATTTACTAATTTAAACATACTTCAGAACATTTGGTCAAGGCAAAGAAGGACCCTGTTGCACTTACTCCCTTACAAAGATGAGTAAGGATTTGATAATTGCTTATTTCTGCATTCATCACAATGAAGTACTTTCCTAAGCAATTACTAAATTGCTTAATTGTTTCGATTTTACCACTGTTACCATACAGAAATGATCCGAATTAAGAACTTATGGCAAATGCCAAATTGGCAAAGCATCGATCAGTTTGAGGAGTTTCAATGAACAAATCACTTTCCTAAAGGAACTCGTAATCATAACGGAAGTTATAATTGAGGAATTGGATGATGATCTCTTAGTTTTCATTTAAATAATATTTCAATTGAATTTGATATTCAAAACTATCAGGGGAAATCTATGACAAATGCTTATATTTGTAATTTGGTTTATCCTGGTAATTTTTAAATTAATCATCCAAGTGTTGTGTCCACTCTATCTTTTCCATCAGAATTTTAATCTGTTTGCTTTGGGAAGATTTTAATATCTAATTTTTCAAGGTCTTTCTCATCACTATAATTACATCATGTAGCCAATCTTCCACATTCTTGGAATAGATCTTAATCGTCTCTATGTTCAATTTTTCAATGACTTTGCCAAGTTTGTCCTGTATTTGCAATTGAGTGATTCCATCTTCATCCATCTCTACTCTGTTGAATAGGAATATCTAATCAATAAAGTCATTGGGTTTAGTGGCTTTGCTTTGTATGAGCAAGATTTGTTGATTGGATAGAAAGTGAAATCTCTGGAATATCTCTCTCTTTTTATCGATATAATTGCTTAATGATTTCTCAATCACCTGCAATTTGTGAATTTACTCTTCAATTTAATTAGATTTATACTTATAGATCTATTACCCCGAGAATTCATTAGTTGACATCTTCCAAAACTTCTCCACACTCTTGAATCTAGTAACTTCAATAGGCAATTATTTTTATAAATCATTCTGCAGAAACACAGGATGAATGTATTAAAACAATTATTGCATCTAATCAAATTATTACACAATATTTTAAGTGTATATCATTTGACTTTCCAATTAGGCCAACTCTTGTATCCAAGGATCATGATACTTCGATTGCAATATTATACTGAGAGAACATAAGGAATCATCCAATCTCTAAAATAACTACTCCAAATTGATCAATTTGTTGTATTAGCAATTCTGTAACTATATCCTAGGTTTAATAATCTAAGCAGTCAAATTGTGAAAGTCATTGCATAATTGTAGATATGTCTACTCAACAATCAATTCTTATTTTGCAATAAAACTAATTTCGATGACTTATTTTCGAATATCCTAATGAAAAAGGCTTAATAGTTCTTATAGAGGTTTGCTCCCATAATCCACTTATTGAGCAATCAACTGATTTAATTGATCCCAATGTCTTTGTCTCATCCCTGGTTCTGTCAATGCCACTATTAATGGTAAATGTGGACTGAACTCCTTGATTTCGAATAATAAACTCTATGATAATTGGGTAATTGATGTCATCTTCTTCTCATTAGAAAATACCAATATTTCTTATAATTCAATTAGACTATTCTCTGTGAATTCCTAAATTTGCTTTGTATTCAACTCACTTATCTTCATCTACATCCAAGTATTGTTCTTCCATTGTTTCATCAACCTCTACAAATTCTCCAGAGGTTATAGTTGCTGAATTATGAAATCTATCTTCCCAAAATTACTCTATTACAAATTAAACACTGTTTCATATTGATTCATTAAAACTGCTTATTGTTTCAGATCCAATAATTCTTTCATAAAAGTCTAATCATTTGTTTAATTCACACTGAAGTTCTTAACAAAATTATTGATTTTACGTTCTGAATCATCAATTGTGTACTTGAAATGCAATAATTCTTACTGGAAATCGTACTTCTATTGAATTCTCTTCTCCATCAAATCCTCTAAACTCTCAGTTATCTACTATTTACACATATTAACATATGATAACATATTCCATCTCTCTTTCATCTACTCAGAAGAACTTATATATGACAACTCATCCAATATTTCATAAACCTTAAGAGTTTGCTTGATATTTATTTCTAATTCGTGAATGTGCTCAGCAACTCCATGATTCAAGAAATTTTTATGATTCTCCAATCCAATTATGTCATTGTTCTATTTCTTAATCATCAACATTAGCTTCTGAAATTGTAGAGTGGTCTCCTTTATTTGATTATTGGCTAAACCTGAAATGTATTCCAGCATTTAGATGATATTCTTCTCCAATAGTTGATTTATTTAAAACAATAGATGTGTATTGTCGATGATGAAAATAGACACCCAATCAGTTGGAGCCATTTCCTTAGTCAATTGTATTTGCAAGGATTAGAGTTTCAATATCTATTGCTTAAATAATTGGAGATCAAAAACATCCTCAGCAGTAGTGCAATCTTTTACAAAATCCTCTAATTTCCATTCAAAAATGTATTGATACTTTATGTACTTTTTAAGGTGATCTATTAACTTACTATTAATCCTTTATACTGTAATTGTTAATTCTTCCACAAAGTCTTAGATTATTTAATCTTTTTATGAAATGCATTATAAATACATAAGATCTGATATATTCATAATACATTCAGGATCCCTAATCTTACTCAATTCCAATAACTGATTGGCAAAGCTGTTGCAATAAATGTTAGTAATCTCTAATACATCAAAGGAATACTAAAAACCACCAAAATATCCAACTGATATTTAAAACACACTCTATTTCTTTTTTTGGAAATTCAATCTAAAATTAGTCACATTATCAATAATTAACTTTGACAATGAATCTAATTGCTTTATCCTTATAACTGACACTATCCTTTTTAATCGATTATCCTATAGAATCACTCCCCTCTATTCCAATTCTGATAGACCATCCTTCATTATTGCTTTGGTTCTTTCACTCCATTTAGAGATGACCTTGAACTAACGACTCACTAATTGATCCTGCTTTTCTTTCAATTACAAAATGGAGTAAGGTTTCTTATCCCAATACAGTAATTCAAGAGAAGATATGTAATTGTTGAGTTCGTTTATGTGGAAGAAGGATTTGATCAGCTCAGGTAAAACAAAGAGGGATATCTCTTGAAATTGTTTCTTAACCATTTCAAATGACGTTGGTTGATGATCAACAAAATCTCTATGAACAATCATCATCTCCTTGAATTTCAATTAAATCTTCCCAAATTCTGGGATAACAGTTTTAGACCCTTTGATAGCCAATTAGAAATTTAAGACATCCTTATTGTGTTTTAAGTATTAATTTAATTGCATCTCATTTTATACTCTCTTATAATGGGTATTAATTTAAATTGCATGTCCCTACTCAACTTTCCCTATCAATTTTTGAATCCTCTAAATCTTATCGACTGACAATTCAGGAATGTCTTGAGTCTGCATATTATCAATATAATAATTGTATCTCAATATATTATCCATTGCCTCTCGATCATTCAAAGCCTTCTCGAATTTCTGCACATACAGTTTAACATTTTCAAAATCACATACAAAATAAAGTCTTGAAATTTCTCCAAATTAATCGTTACTCTGATAATTGAATAATTAGGTCTGATGATTGTAATCAACAATCTTCCCCTCCACAAATTCATTCTGATTATTGAGAATGAATGCAGTGATTGAACCAGATCTTTATATTTTCAAAAATAAATCCTGATTAGAAAATCTGTCAAAAGAACTATCTTCAAATAAATGCAATGGCAAATATGCAAATTTCTTAATTCTATTGCCCAATTGCTAAATGTGAATTGTGGGTTTCAACTACTTTTTTACAGGAATGCATTCATTGATCATAGAGGAACTCAAATCAAATGTGAAATGTTTAAGTTTCCTCTAAAAATATACCTCTTTACTAAATCTTTATGGCGTTCTTTGAGGAGTTTGATATCGAGTTGTCAAAGATCCAGGTCTTTATCGAGAACTAGGTCTCATTAATTAAAATATATTTATATATCGAAATAATCCATATTCTTTCGTATTATTATTTATCATCTAAACCTTGAAGAATTCATCCATGTATTCTCTTCATTGACAAGAATCACATTATTAAAATGACAACTATTTTAAATATTAAAATAACAAAAAATAATAATGAGACCGAACACAAACTCAAAAGCATTTAATAATGGATTCCGATAGAATTCAAGCAATAGTAATGTTGGGCTCATGATTGATCAATAAAATTCTTTGAATTATTCTCATCGATTGGCCGAAGAAAGCTTGCAAATAGGGGAAGACGTCTTGGAATCATTCAAAAGGCAAAATGACTCTCTCAAAGTACTTCTTATTATCAAAATAGAGAATACAAAATAAAGTGAATTATACGATCGGTGATTTGGGACTATCATAAGGAATCATTAAGCTTATTGGATCAAGAGATTAATAAGATCGACGCATTATCATCTTTTTAACCATTTTATTGTTTGTCTTTATAGGAACGCTTTACTACGTGTTCAAATGATAATTAATGTTTTATAATTCTTTAAATAATAATTATATTTAAATAACGTACACAAAGACATGAGCTTCCTTAAAATAATCCTCAATTACTATCATTTTACTTGCTTAATTCAAAAAAATAATAAACCAATAGAAATCCAATAAAATCATCTGCAATCATTATGATAATTACAGAAGTTTTGAGAAATTCTTTTGATTTAACTATATGAAAAAACCTAAGTACAATTATGAGTTCCACTAAGATTAATGGAAATCTTCTACATTGTCTTATGGCTTTTTATAAGTTTATTATTATCTATTTTGTTAACCATAATGAAACTCATATTTTATAAGAGTGCTTCAAATTTTTCATAAAGAAGATTCAATAATTCATCTCTTATTCTACTGTTGGAATCATATAGTAGATCATTTCGATTAAATCAATGTTTTTCAATACACTTTAATACTTTTTCTAATATTAAGATTCTTAAAATAAAAAAAGAATGAACAAATTTAATATTAATCATAAGTTTTCAATGAGAATATTTTATTATTCTTTTATTAAAGAGTTAAATCCAAATGTGTCAAATTTATTCTAAGTAACCTGATGAAGGTTGAGATAATAGAAGAAACCGCTTCAAATATATCCTATAATATCATAATGGAGAATTTGCAATTACAAATTTGAAAAGTGATATTTTTATAAGGAACATTACTATCTTTGTTAAAACTTGTATTTATTTCTAAATAAATAATTAAAAATGTGATAGATTCAATGCATAATAAGTGAACCTAAAGTTAGATTAACATAATGGATAAAATTACAATCAAATAGAGAGTTTGTAATCCTAAATAATTAAAGGCCTTCTAGAATTCTATAAAAATAAATTGATGATTTAATAAAAATAAATAGGTGAATTAAGAATATTTAAGGATTCAAAGTGATTCCAATTAACAGTGTCATTTCCTTAAGCAATGTAGTTGGCAGTAATCTATTTTACTTAATTAAGACAATTGATTTTAATATATGATTTTGTAAAACACATTACTTAATTATTATTATTTTAATAAAATCATTCTTATTATTTTAAAATTAGATTATATGGCACTACCGAGAAAAATAAATTTGCCATTGCCTCTTTTGGAGTTAAATTTTACTCTACTACAAGATGGTAAAAAGCTCCAAGGGAAACTTCAATATAATTTGATAAAATGTTATGTCTTGGAAAATCTAAGTAAATTTATTTTGTAAATAAGTCTGTATCCATCAATAGTATGTTACACATATCTTCATTGAAGTTTTTATGCCCTTTTAGCATAAATATCTAGCTAAATTTAATGATTATACCTATAGAAAATTAAGTTGTTAAACTTTTTATAGATGAACATACAAACAATTCTTTTATTCTTATTCTTAAATATCAATTTCTATAGAGATAAAGGCTTATTTTATAACCTTATTTGACAAGAAGTGGTCATAAATCTCTTACACTTGCTAAAATATAATGTTTAATTTTTACTAATGATAAATTTTAAATTCCTTTTTCTAAGTAAGGTTATACTATTTATGTAATTATTACAGTATTATTATTCTTTTGTGCCTATTCTACCATTTCAGTAAAGGTATTTCTAACATTTTCCTCATTTTCCTACAATGTTGTGTACAATTCAGTATATTAATTTAAAGCCCAAAATGCTCTTGCAATTGTGTCATCATTAATAATAATGTTTTCCTTAATATTTTATTACTCATAAATAATTGCAAAAACTGTCATCATATACTTTATATAGTAGCCATCAGCTCCAAATGAATCAAGTTTTTTTTTTGATTAAGGTGGAAGAATCACTTAAGAAATTTCAAACTCTTCACAATAGAAAACCTATTACAAAAAGAACAAAAAACGATCAAATTCTTCCCCCATATGATCTTCATTTGGCTATTTATCGTAATATAATTTTAATTATTTTGAAATAGGATCTTTTTCAACTAAGTAAAACAAAAATGGGTTATTTTGTAATGGGAAAAAGATTTTTGATTCAACAAAGTTTTCTCTTCCTGTAATTTCCTGATATGTCCTCTCTATCTAAGTAACTAATCTTTAAACATCATCTTAAACTTCTTCCTAAGAAATTAATTTTTCAAAAATATCAAATAGCTTTTTTACTACATCAAAATCTAACAAGTAAACCTCATCTTATGTAATAAAATCTTCAAACAGTTAAATCACATATTCAAAAGAATTAAATTCTTTCATTTTAATTGTCGTTTTTTTTCCATATTTTGTTCCTTTAATATACTTATTTATTAAGGGCAGCATTTCTGGGGTTATAAAATTCTAATCAATCTCCTCTACTTCAATTTTAGGCTAGTATTTTTCCTTTAAAATTTTAGTAACCTTATCATCGTGTTTGGGATTAAATTCGCTACCAGATGATATCTAAGACTAAAAGGATTAATTAAGTCCTATAATATTTTTCTGATTTAATTCTATTGGATTTGATGGTTCTGCCTATCTTTCATGGATCTTCTCAGAAGGAGAAATATTAGTTTATGGTTGTTGTTGTGGAGGATAAGTCTTTGTTGATGCTTTATTTTAAGGAGGATCAACATAAATTGACGATTCTTATTAAGAAATATTAGTTGTATCTGATGGTTCTTTTTGAAGAGAATGTGTAAGAGGATCAGGGTTTGTTATTGGTTTTTGTATTTGGGTATCTATAAATGGATTTTTTTACAAATGATCTCTAACCTGTTGTTACTTTTAAAGATCCGTTTCTACTTATTATAAATAAGGATTCTGATTGTTTCTAGCAAGCTATTGTTCAACAGACTTATCAGTTTATGACATTTATCTTTAACACTTAGAGAAATCTGAGTTCAATAAGTTGGCTAATTCACTATAAAGACTGTCTACATATTATTTAATTTAATTTGAGGATGGCGTTCTACCAGGAGTCATTTTGATATAATATTATTTTGCCTTATCCAAAGCCTCTTGGAGTTTAGTTTCAAAATAGGCTTTCGACTTATCTTTGTGATCCAAGATCTTCTGAAATAAAGTTGTTGCATCATATTATAGATTGGAAGCTTTGATTGCAAAGGCATTTAAATTTTACAATTAATGTAACTATCGCTCAGTTGTCAAGGGAACCTTTCTTAAATCCTCTTCATTGATTCTATCCTCTAAAATTAGATAGTAAATTTCATCTTCCTTTAACGACTCCCAATCATTTTAAGTTTTTAATAATATTTTATGAAGTTCTTCTCTTTCCTTCTAATATTCGCACTTTTCTGTTGTTGCAAATTAGAAATATTCAGGAGCAATTTCTTTAAGTTCCTAATTGATTTAATCACAAAATTCTTTGTAAATGATTCTTCTATCTCTCATACATACCGTTTTACTAATGTAATACAAATCATCAGTGGACATTTAGGGATCTTATCTATCATTGATAATTGAATGAAATCTTGATGATAAAATAATAAAATTACCTAGACAACACAGCATTCTTATTAAAAACAAAGAGTGGACTTGTACTTTCATGTTCCATAACATCCTTAATTTTTTTCATTGAAATAATAAACATGGATTCAATCAATTCATCTATTTTTTAAAATTAGGTGGGTTCATTATTACAAAGCCTTTCCAATAGATCTTCTAGATTGAATTTTGTGATATTTATGAGAAAATGCCATCCATATTCATACTTTAATAATTCATAGATTCTTAAAATTTGATCAATTTTTCTTATAACTTCCCTATCATATTCTTGTGGAGTTGTTCTTGAAGCAAACTTAGACACAAGATCGTTTGACATATCTATTAATTTTTATCTAATATGTTTTCGAGTATCCCCAATTCGGTAGTCACCTGGTATCAATTCTTATGTCTATTTTCCATTCAATTTGAATAAATATTAATCAAGATCATCAAAGAACTTATGCAATTTTTACTCCAAAACAAAACAGAATTATTTAAAAAAATCATCAATGTGGAAACCTAATATATTTAAATATACATTACCTTTTATAACAATTTGTCCAAATATTTAATTTAACTGTTTCATCTAATCCTCAAATTGAAAAATATTTCTTCTTATCAAAGGAAAATTATTTTGCAAATATCTTACAAGTTCTTAAGGATCAAATGTTTTGATGGCTTTATAATTTGGTTTCATCATTATGTCAGGCTCAAACACGTACTGATACAAAGAAAATGGATATTCTTTGTGATACCCAACACAATAGGAAGCTAAATAAGGAGGTACATCTATTAACCAAGGATATTAGTATATTTATTGCATTTTTAAACAATTCATTATATAAATATTAATAAATTCTAAAAGATAAAGAAACTAAGAATTTATAATATAGACCCTTCGATTTGAAGCTATATGAAAGCTCTAAACACTAATAACATTGTAATTTTCAATAATAGATTCCACTATAAGTATTATTTTATTATAAACAATTATTAACTTCCTAAATCTACAAAAAGTAACACTTATACAGATTAATTACCTTCTTGCTTAATTTGATATAGAGTTGAGAAAAATTTCTTTTATTCAGATTAAACAAATATATAATTATTAATTAAGATTTAAAGAAATTTTTTATCCTTAATTTTCAAAGCTAATTCGAGAATCATATGTTAAGAAACTTGGATGAAAAACCTTTTGCATGTCCTAAGAGATAAACCTGAAAATATCAAAATTTTTATAAAAAGCTTACCACCATCCAATTCTTAATTAGTAGGAATATCTTGTATTTAACACTTTATATTTGTTTTTTAGTTGAATTTAGAAGTTTTTTTCCAAGAAACTGCTATTAGATGTTATATATATTTGATACAAATAAATCTTTCTACTCAGAAAATCAAGAAAGGCCATTTTATATTATAATTATATTTCAGATTTCCTTCTCTCAAAATTTTCTTTGTATGAGAATAGCCAAATATTATTAAATTGTATTTTTGTTAAATTGGAGAATTATGGTTTACGCTACCAATTTTATTACACTAAATTGTTAGTTTTTGAGAATATTATTTATTTATTTTTTCTATTAATAATTTAATTTTAAAAAAGGCAGAAAAATAATTTCCAATGTTTCTGGAATCAAGAATTCTATTAAAAATAATGTAATTCTATTAAATGCTAATTTCATTTGATAAACTTAAAAAACCAAATATTTATTTGATATTTATAATATGAATTAAATGTTAGTCCGAAATAGTGAGGCTTAACAACTATAGCCTATTGTAAAATAGACATCAATATAATAAAATATTTGTAAGCAATCAATTCAACAATAAATATAAACATTAAAATAAGAAATTATAAACTTAGATAATAATGATGATCTTACAAATAATCAAAAATAATACTATAAACATTAATATTAACAGTTATTATTGACTAAATTAAACGAGGTTAAATAAATTCCTCATGTAAATTAGAATATTGAGGCTTCAAATCCTGAATTAGCACTTTATGTTTTAAAAGAATCTTTATTAAGAGATCAAAATAGAGATTAATTGCTTACATTTGGAGTCGATTCAATTTTAGGAACATTTGGCTCTGACTAATCTTGTCTTAAAGTTAGAAACACTAATCTTGATTACGATTCAATAGTGAAAGATACTCAATTATTAGAACAGCATATAATAGAATTTAAATAAAAACTATCAAATTCACTGAATATTTCAATTGATTAAATTGAAATTTTGGGAGTATCAAAGGGAAGTTTTGAAATTAACTTTTAAATTACAGGAAAAAATATCGATGAGATTTAAAACTAGATTAAGAATAAGCCTTAAGCATAACAATTTTTGAAGGAATATTGTAATGGCAAAATTGAATAGATAGCTTATTTTGATTAAGCTAGTGCAAATGGAGTTGCACTTTCTTCTGATGATTTTAATCCTTATTACAATAAGATTTGGGATGGTTTTCCTGAGAAAGAACAAAGAGGACCTTCTTATCATAGATATGATTATTATTTTCCAAGAGGTTGTTATGGTTTTGGATTAAATATAAAAAAATATGGAGATAATTAGGATTGGATATAAAAGAACGGTAACCAGAATGAATGGAGGATTTTGTATCATGGTACAAAGTAACATTTTGTTAGTTCAATTGTAAAAAATAATTTAAAACCTGGTAGTAATAATGGCTATTCTGATAACCTCTGTTTTGATGAATTCAATAACCAAGTGAAGGTTGGAATTGGAATTTATTTTTCAAATAATTTTAATGTCTGTATTAAAGATGGATATGCTACATACTCTTAAATTGGAAATAAACAATTTGCTGTAATCTTTATGTCAAGAGTTAATCCAAGAAAAATTAAATAAAGTGAGGGGATGAAATCGCATAACTATTTTGTTGTAAATGAGTCAAAAGATATTAGGCCTTATAGAATTTTATTACATGAAAAAAAATGATATCTTATGAAATCTAAACTTAATTGAGTTATAAATATTCTAATTTATGTATTAATAATCATAATTACTTCAATTATTGCTATTAAATCATAAATGACAAGATATTAAATTATAATTCAATTTAAATTTGAGATATTGAAGAATTTTTATTTATCTATACAGTTCTGGTTGTGCAGAGTGTAACTTGCATGAAAATTATTGAATACACTATTTATAAGGAATCTCAATTATACTTAATTTTACAAAAATATTTATCAAGAACACACGCTTGTTATTATAATAATGCTTTTGCACTTGTAAAAATATTCTGTTTTTTATTAAATAATTATGAATAGAGTTAATACAATTTTAAATAATCTATTATATGGCCTTTTTTCCTAGGAGAAGATTTTGATGGAAATGTATAAATATAATTATTAGATATACATCAATAAATACTTAATTGTTCAATTTATTTAATTTAGCCATCTTTTTATTACATGAGATATAATAAAAAAAATAAATTATTTAGGATACTTTATAAAATAATAATAGCTGCTAAGTGTGATCACTTATATCTTTAATGATTCATAGTTGATACAATTAGAAAAGTATTTAATCTTATGTTATCATTCAATTTGAAGATATAAAATCTCAAAATTAACTTGATTAACTTCAATAGCATCACTCTTAAGCATGCTTTAGCGATAGCCCAAAATAATTTCATATGACTTTTACCAATCAAGAATCATGTTGAATGGTCCTATAATTATTTCATAAAATATTGATTGAATTAACCTATTAATGATTCTTTTAATAACCAACCTCGCATTTATATTTTATCTCATGCTAAATGGGTTTGTTAAAACAAATTTTAACAAATAAGATTTGATTATTGTGATTAATCCTATTAGAGACACTCTTTTTAATGTTATTTGTATACTAACTGAAAATCAAAACTATAATAAACAACTTGAGTTCAAGAGTGGATGAAATTTATCTTTGATTACAAATCTCAATATTTTTTTTAGTTCATGTGAAATGCTGGTTAGAATTAATTAGGTTTATTTACCAAAATTATGTTGAACATTAATTCTTTTCTATCTTTTGCTTTCTAAACAATGAAACTAAAGAGTAGATGGCAAGGTAATACTATATTATTACAAGACTTAAGAATTTTTATGCTAAGAATCCTGGTGTCCAAATTGCTCTAATTATCCTTCTATTTCCATATTTATTCGTTTAAATCTTTGCGATCCTCATCATATCGTGTTAGATTTCTTCTCTACAATCATCAATAAAACAATATAAATTAGAAATATATTGAGAAAATAATTTGATTCTATCTCACGTCTAGATACCCCTTTTAGTAACAATAAAAATATCAGATATTTTATAAAAAATAATAATTGTATGAAATATATTATTTGATTTCTAGAAAGTAGAAGTAAATATGCTTTCAAATATACACTCCTCTTAACTATTCAAGAATATTTCTATAAGAGGTGCTACTACTTAGAAAACTATCTAAGGGATTAAAGATTATTTATAATTCTATTATAAATCCAATTTGAATTATAAACTAAAATTAAATAAAATTAATTCTATTATTTCCTTCCTAATTGAATAAAATTGCAAATTTAAGTTTTATGATAGAAATACAACCTTAAATTTAAATAAATGAATCTCATTTTTAAGTTTTTTCAATAGGCATAAATAGAATTGGAAAAGAAGAAAAGAAAAAGAGTTATTGAAGAAGAAAATAGAAGGAAAGTTGAATAAGAAAAAATAAGATAGGAGGAAGAAAGGATGCTATAACTTGAAGAAGAAAATAGAAAAAAGGTTGAATAAGAAAAATTTAGATAGGAGCAAGAGGATAGAATGATAAAATTACAATATAAGGAAAGGATTAAATAAATCGTATAACCAATAGCAAATTAAACGTTGATATAATAAGAAATTTGTAAACAACCTATTCATCAATCAATATAAACATTAAACTAAGAAATTAAATAAATAGATAATCATAATACTCTTACAAATAATCAAAAATAATTCTATAAAAATTAATATTAATAATAACTATTTACTAGATTAAAGGATTAAGGTTTAGTGTAATCAATTCCACATGTAAAGCAGAATATTGAGATTTCAAATCCTGAATTAGCATTTTACGTGTTAAAAGAATCATTATTGAGAGATTAAAATAGAGAATTATTGTTTACAAGCTAATAGAACTCATTTGGATTTGATTCAGTTATAGGAACATTTGGCTCTGACTAATCTTGTCTTAAAGTTAGAAACACTAATCTTGATTATGATTCAATAGTGAAAGATACTCAATTATTAGAACAGCATATATTCGAATTTAAATATAAACTATCTAATTCGCTTAATATTTCAATTGATTAGATTGAAATTTTAGGAGTATCAAAGGGAAGTTTTTAAATTAACTTTTAAATTAAAGGAAAAAATATAGATGAGATTTAAAAATTAATCAAGGATTAGCCTGAAGCATAACAATTTTTAAACGAATATTGTAATGGCATGATAGAATAGGTAGTTTATTTTATTTAAGCTAGTGCAAATGGAGTTACACTTTCTTCTGATGATTTTAATCCTTCTCACAATATGAATTGGTATGGTTCTACTGAGAAAGAACAAAGAGGACCTCCGTATCATAGATATGATTATTATTTTCCAAGAGGTTGTTATGGATTTGGATTAAATATAAAAAAATATGGAGATAATTAAGATTGGATATTAATGAATGGTAACCAGAATGAATGGAGGATTTTGTATCATGGTACAAAGTAACATTTTGTTAGTTCAATTGTAAAAAATAATTTAAAACCTGGTAGTAATAATGGCTATTCTCAATACAAATGTTAAGATGAATTCAAAAAAGAAGTAAATGTCGGAGATGGAATTTATTTCTCAGATTAGATAAATATCTGTCTTAAAGATGGATATGCTACATACACTTAAGTTGGTAAGAAATAATTTGCTGTAATCTGTATGTCAAGAGTTAATCCAAGAAAAATTCGACAATGCAAGGAAATGGAAGGCAAAAGATATTTTGTTATTAATAATTCAGAAGATGTTAGACCATATAGAATTTTATTACATGAAAAAAAATGACTAATTATTTATTATAAATATATTTATTTATTTAAAATAAATTTAATGGCTGATGTTAATATCTTTAAGCGGTTTGAATTTTTCTCCATAGGAACTACTGTAAACTTTACAATAAAATCTCTTTTCTGCTCATTTTAAACTTCTATCAAAACAGGATTTTGTACCCATTAATATGCAATCGTTAATATATTGAAGACATAATTGAATTTTGTTTTGGTTGTTATATTATTAAAGTTTATTAATTTATAAATGGTTACTATTTCACAGTTTTTGAGCTTGATATTTTTCAATTTTTCAAGAATGTTTTAGTAATTCTACAAATATCTTCATCAGATATAAAAATCCATTATATTATGGAAATTTGACAAAGAAAAAAGAGTAAAGATATTTTGATTAATGTGTTAAATTTTAATCATATATTGATTCTACAATCATTTATTTGTTTTATTACCAAGGAAACATACTTGAGTCTCATTAACTCACATACAATTAAGAGCAAAAAACTATTTCATCCTACCACTGATTATCGTTCGATTCTTCACATATTATTAATAATATTATCGAAACATACTTAACAATTTTTGTTAACTTTGAAGAATCTAATCTGTTCAACTAAAGCAGTTATATATATCATCCTGATACTAGAAGGTAGAAAATGAATTCTATATAATGAATGCTACATAAAACCTCAATTATTAAATAATCAATATCTACTGTTAACTCATTTCTGTTAATGACAGAGCTTGATATATATAAAAATGATTAAATTTTGAGTAAGAGAAAAGTTTAATAATTAAAGTTATCTTAATTACAAGTATATAAAAGCATTATTTACTAGAGTTGATTTAGATATATGTAATAATAAATTATTAAATAAACATATTGATTTTGCTTAAATTTCATAGAAATACATAAATATATAATTATATTTTTATATGAAATCTAAAATTAAGGCAGCAAATAAATTAACTTTAGGTACTGAAACAGATCTAATCTTTAATGATGCAGATTTTTGCTCTAATTTGGCTGATCATTTTAAACAACCTAAAACAGTTAGAACAACTCATAAAAAAACAAAAACTGAATTATTTTATACAAAAACACCTAACACAGCATTGTATAAATTTCGATAGAATGGACAATTGTTAACAAGTTCTTAGTTATCTCTTTCTCGTTGTCCTTCGCTGACGAAATCCTAAAGGAGATTATAGGATAGGGAACTCAAGACAAAAAGTAATAATGTCAGTAAGGAATATTTGGAAATAAAAAAAAGTTAAACGGAGTAGGACATAGTACCTATTCAGTTATTGTTTGAATAAAACAGCTTTTTAGCAAGGAATCACGAATTTTTGATTGACAGTATAACCGAATTGTCAGAATCTGTTAAGGTTTAATTGTTAAGCAATCAGTACGAAATATAGAGATGGAAGGAGGAAAAAATGTAAAGCAATCTTGATAGTAAAATATTGTTTATATTTTACAACACTTTGCAACAATTGGATAAGAAAATTATTGGATCGATATTTAATCAACAATAGACTCCAGCTGAGAATTTTAAATTAAAGCATTTATCTGACACAATGGAAATGGTATCAGAAATGGTGACACTCCTGATCAAACAGGTTTCTAGAATGGACATTAAATTGGCTACATTTTTAGAATACTTTTGGAAGTTTTGGGTGGTCTTGATTGATGTAGCAATGTAATGGATGGATAAGAGTTGCACAGATTATATTGAATATCAAATCTCGCAATTTAAGTAATAATTTGAGGAGGCAATATAATAAAAAAATCTAACAGAAGACAAATTAATAAGGGCAGAAAAGGAATTTAAATTATAGGAGTAATAATACTAAAGAAAATGCGATTCGTTGGAAACCTAAATATTATCCATCCAATCGGAGTTTAATGAATATAAACAGGCTGTACTTCAGATGAGTGATTTGAAATAGGCAGAGAAAAGAATGAATGCAGTGGGTTTAAAGTCATTAGAATTGGAGAACCTCTTTAAATAATATGACCGATAGTTGTTTGATTACAAGAGTGATTTTCAAAAGGACTTCAAACAATTGGGATCAATATTGGTACAATAAAAGAAATTGTAAGAGGATTTAAAGCAACCTCATCAATATGCTCAATCTATTCTTCACATTCCTTAGTATGTAGAGAATAAGACTCTTTATGAACTATTTACTAATATGCATCCTTTCTGTTTGCATTTTAATAAAATAGAAATACACGAATAAGAAGTTGAGAATGACTATGACAATTAGCTAATCTAGTTTTTAGAGTATCTAACCAATTACGATGATTTAATGTAGAATGTTTGTGTGATATTCAGAGTATGGATGAATGACAATGATCGTCTCAATCGTATTGTAAATCATCTTTTGACTTAAAAGGATTATACACAACATTCATTGCATCATTTTTATTGCATTCTATTTGGTTTGAAAAACAATTAGCAACTCTCTTGGATTTCCATAAGCAATCTCATTTGTTATTTTAAACAGTTGAGATAGGAATTACACCAATAATTGAATGAACCCATCTATCTTAAGGATTCGAATTATATTTTAGATTTGATTCTGCCAGAAGAGTTCATGGAAATCATTAAGCATCACAAACTCGATTCAATAACCATATTGAGTTTATTAAATTTGTTGGCTTAGTTTATGCAATAGACAGAAAATAAAATATGGAATAGATGGAAATTTCACTTTAAAATCGATTCAGACGAATTTGATCAAAATAAGTTGGATTACTTCATGCAACTCAAAATATATTTGAATAAAGGCGAATTGAGTATTCAATAAAGAAGTGATTACTTTGATCAAATTCGACATTTGTCCTTAATGTACCCTTGTTTATTTTATAAACACAAATAAATGATTTCGAAGATGCAAACTTAAGTCAGACGAGTCTCTTAGAAACATGCAGCATAATAGTAATAAAAGGAATCCAATACAAGGCCATCCCAAATGAAGAGATAGTCAACCTATAATGGAATGATTAAATCTCAAGTTCTTAGAAAATGAATCTTATGATTTGTATATGATAAATTCCATCCTATATTTAAATAATTCAAAAGTTGATCATTCTATAGAAAATTAATATTTATAGAATATTATTAAATTTCTAAACAAATAATAAATTTATTTTTTTAAATTTAATGTTGGTGGCCTTCTTTTTGATATTGATTGAAGTACATTCAAAGTGTTCTGACAGATCAATAAGTACATGTCTGCAGGACAATAATTGTTAAATAGTGAATTATTTATGTGAGTCTAAATAAGTTAATTGTTATGAATTAAGTGAGAAAAATTGCTATGAATCCCAATGTCATTTCAATGAATAACTCTCAATTTGTGAAGTAATATTATGAAATATCAAAATAGTCTTAAAATGCGAATTAGAACATTTAACTCAGAATTCTCAATCACAAACACAATGGATGGAAAAAGAATAAATATTGGAAAAGATAAAAATAGAATGAGTAAATTGAAGAATCTAGCCAGAATAGTAATTCTGGATCAAAAAAGAATTCTGATTAAACATCGAGTAATTTGAATGAGAATTCCGATATTCTTAACACCAATTTGGAAGAATAGAAGATTGACTATTCAAAATAAGATACTATTATTTTTGAAATATAAGAGTTGGATTTTTATCAAGAAGATTTTTTGGATCAGAAGGATGGATAAGATCCTGGATTTTTTACTAGTTCATCTTATACTGCATTAATAATACCTATTATGATGTTCTAATTATTTATTTGATAATAATAATATAATATGTTATTTACTTTCGTTTTGCTCGGCTTTGTTAATTCATCTTGTCTTACTAGAAATTTTGAGGAATGTTTGACCTTGAATGTAGAATACCAGGATAGTTGTCAATTATCTTAAGGAGAGTGCAGACCAAGACCTCAAAAGTGTACTGAAATAGATGCCACATACCCTTTAAACTGTAGAACAAATGAATGTTACTACAGTAAGAGATTCAACAAATGTTTGGTAACTCAATGCACTAATCTAGTCACAACCATTTACTCGTCTTCTCAATGAGGTTCCTGAGAGAGGAGGAAAACATTAGGATCATCAACAAGGTCCCCATTAAGGACCAGGTCACCCAGGACCTGCCACAACAGAAGGAGGACCCTTACCTACTTCATAATAGCCACCTTAATAACCCCCAAATCCAAATTAATAACCTTTCTAAAATCAAACAACTCTGTAAATGACTTATAATATTAATTAGAAACAATTAAACTCTGAATCAACCTAAAGTGGAGGAGAATGAAACTAATGATCAGGATGATGCATCAGCAGAGGAAGAGGACTATGAAGAATAGGATACTGATGAGAACACTGAAGATGATGATAAGCCTTGGAATGAACCAGAAGGTAATTATAAAATCAAAAAATAGTTCCTCCTTCAACTAATTCTACAAATTCTACAGGCATTCCCAATAACACAAATAGTACAGGTGGCTTTAATGACACCTACTATGGATTTTAAGATTTAATTGAAGAGGAGATCAAAATCAAACTGAGTGAATCTGATGATAGAAAATAAATAGAAATAAAGAGCAGTGGAAGCTTCCAGTTCATCATGGCATTTATCACTATGATTATTTGGATATGAAATATAAAATTAATTTAAAATCAAATAATATTTCTACACTATCAATGGATAAAATCTATTTGATTATTAAATAAGTAAGATAAAATCATTATACTATCTAATAAGATAATTATTTATTCAAGGGTTAATAATTATTAGCATTTAGTTATAAACTAAAAAATCATTAGATACACTTAAAATTCTTCTCATAGAGAAATATCAAACCTCTTATTTAAAGGATATAATCCCGCTACATAGATTAAATAAACCAAGAATGAGCGTGTAATAGACTACCGAAATCTAGGGGGAAAATATCAACAAATTATATTGATGGAATTGAATACAATAATAATATATCATCATAATTCTTATTGTTGTTTTACTGCACTAATCAGTTATTAATTGAATTTGCCATTCTATACACTAGTGTCACTCGATGTTCTAGTGTCAAATCCCATAGGCATAATAAATGATTATTATCTGGATGAGTCGAAATCCTCTATTTCTTCCTTAATGATAAATACATTGATTCGCTATCTGTAATTCCCGCTACTCCTTCTGATTGATTGAGTAACAAAAAGACTTGATAATCTCAAGGACTTGAGGAGTCAACCCATAAACCAGAGAATTTATGAAACCTTAGAGACTCACAAATGCAACCGCTACATCTTTGAATGCATAGGTCTATCTATAAACATAATTTCATACACTATATTGGTCGTATTTTTGGAATATATCAATCATGGTCCAAATTTGAGTAAGGAGGAAAGAAAGAGGATAGAGGAATAGCTTATATGATTTCATCTATTAATCTTCAATTCAATTCTTACCTCAGTAACATTATACAAGAAGTTATATATTTTTATATAAAAATATATGATGTAGAACAGTATGCCAATACAAAGAACCAAATAATCGACGACCATTAAAGCGATGCTATCTGGTAATAACCAACACATTGAATAATTCAACCCATAGGCATCCCAAGCGAATGGATAAGCACTCAATATGAATGGAATGCCTAGAACAATTGGATTCAAAAATGTTACCTATTGCAACAACATAAAATTTTAGAAGACCTGGCAATTCTTAATTATCAACAATTGTGGCACACATATTGTAAGCAAAAATTCCAATCCACACTATACTTGATTCACGACTGTAATTGACCAGAAATGCCTGGAATACACTATTTATGACATTACTTACCATAGTCCATTATTGTCATCGTTACTATTGATAATGCTTGCTAGGGCAAAGAGAGCATCAGCGATCTGGAGTTGGAGGACTAAACGAAAGGTTGGTGTTCTCAATTCTTATATAAAGGTAATGAATTACTTGGGTTTGATAAAAATAATAGAGCGACAGTTGTACTACTGAAAAGGGAAATTGAAGAGCAAATTACTTTGATTTATATCAATTAATCCATTTATTTATTTGAATATAATATTAAGTGAGTATAGGGACTTATTGAGTTCTCTTATATATTAATAAAACAATGGGCCAATAATATTATAATATAGCCACATCTATGATTGAATGATATTAAATGATAATTATTAGACTATTTAAAACACGTTTCTTGTAAACAAATCATTTATATTAAATATCGAAAGTGATGTAATAAAAGGAATTCGAAGAGACCGTAGAAGAAGTCAAAACCATAAAGGCTATCACCCCAAAGGTAGAGTGACTTGTGTATATTTTAAATAGGAAATCAAAAAGATCGTAAGACCTTAATTTGAGGCAAACCCAGAGTTGTTCTACCCAACCAAGGTTTTCGATAAATTTGGGTTCAGTAGATGCAAATGTCCAAAATGTGGAGCATATTTTTGGAGACACACAGATAAGAAGACCACTTGTGGAGATTCAAAGTAATTGAAGAAATCAATAATTTTTTAGTTGTGAAGGGAAGTACTCCTTTATTGGTGTAGGCACAGGTAAAGGAGCCAAAGGAAATAAAATAACATATGCCGATGCTTGGAACGGATTCAAGAAATCTTTAACAAGTGCTAGAGTACCATGCACAGCAATTGATAGATATCCAGTGGTGGCCAGATGGAGAAATGATGTTGATTATGTAGCAGCAGGAATCTATTGTTTCTAACCATTTTGTGTAACAGGTGAGATGGATCCACCAGCAAATCCATTGATCTGTCCATAATTTTGTGTGAGATTCAATGATCTCGACAATATTGGTTTGACAGGAAGACATTATTCCGGATTTATCATGCTTGGTATCTAGACATTCAATTATCCTGACAAATACGTGTTCTTTAAGGAGGAATGTGTAGAATTCAACTATAGATGGTTGACTGAAGAGTTAGAAATCAATCCAGATGATATTACATTCATTGAAGATGTTTGGGCAGGAGGTGGAAACTTGGGTCCATCAGTAGAGTACTTCGTCAATGGATTGGAAGTAGGAAACATGGTGTTTATGCAATATAAATATTTCCATGATGGATCATATGAAGAATTACCAATTAAAATCATAGATACAGGAATCGGATTGGAACGTATACCTTGGTTAGTCAATGGTTCACCTACAAGTTATTTCGATGTCTTTGCTGGGGCCTTTGCATTCTTGGCATAAAAGTTATAAGTCGAATATTCAAATGATGTTTGGAAAGCATTTGGACCATACAGTTGTTTATTGAATGTTGATGAAGTTGAAAATGTTGATAAGACCTGGGAATTCATTTCATCATAGATTGGATATGATGTCTAAACTATTAAGAAGGAAATTGAACAATTGAAGGATATGTATATCATATTGGATCACACTCGTACTGTTATGATGGTCGTTACTGATGGATCATTACCCTCAAATGTTGGTGGTGGTTCTAATATTAGAAATATCATCAGAAGAGTATTTGCGGTCTTGAAGAAGAATAATTGGTGGGATAAATTAGGAATGGATGGATTATTATAATTATTTTAAGAACACAAAAATGATTTGGCTAAACTTTATGGTCCATTTGGAGAATATAAGAGTTTCGATTAAATTATCAAATAAGAATATGAAAGATGGGCTAAAACAGATGATGATAAGAAAGTTAAATTAGAAAAATTATTGAAATAAAAGAATAATCAATTAAGTATTGACGATTGGATCTTTGCTATGAGTACTCATGGAATACCAGCTGATACTATTAGTCAAATTAGTAAATTGCCAATCCCTGGTAATTTGTATGCTGAATTGGCAGATAGAGCAGCCAGAATTACTAAAGCACCTGAAGCTATTCTTTATAACACAGTTCATTTACCTGAAACTACTAATTTATATTATCAAACACCAAAAGATGGCAAATTCTAAGCTAAAATTGTTACTATATTCAGTAATGTTTAACAATAGAATCTTCCCAACATTGTGATTTTGAATCAATCTGCCTTTTATCCATTTGGTGGTGGTTAAGATTTCGATTAAGGTTGGTTAACTATTTAAGGTGAGAGATATTATGTTAACAATGTATAAAAAGTTGGCAAGGTTGTGTTACATATCTTAGAAAAACCATTACAAAATGCAGTTGATACATATGTTGGTTAAGAAGTGTTAGCTGAAATCGATTTAGAAAGAAGAACAATTTTGAGAAATCATCACACAGCTACTCATATTGTATTTGCAGCATGCAGAAGAGTACTTGGTCCTCATGTTTGGTAAAATGGTGCTCATAAGAGTGTTCACAATGCACATCTTGATATTACTCACTTTGCACCTTTGTCTAAGGAATAAGAATAAGCCATTGAGAATGAGGTCAATAAGATCATCTTATCTGCAAAACAAATCAATAAAGGATTTATGAATAAAGCTGATGCTGAAAAGGAATATGGATTCAGATTATATCAAGGTGGTATTGTACCAGGAAATGAATTAAGAGTTGTAAATATCGATGGAATAGATGTTGAAGCTTGTTGTGGTACCCATTGTGACAGCACATCAGAAGTAGGATGGGTGAGAATTCTTAAAACTTAAAAATTATAAGATGGTGTTGTAAGACTCTATTATGTTGCTGGAGTGAAGACAATTGAGGTATTAAACTCAGAGGGAGAGATGATTAATTCATTGGTCAAGTTGTGGTCTATTTCCAAGAATCAATTGGTTGAAGAAGGCAGCAAGATTTTCTAAGAGAAGAAACATTATGAATCTGCATATAACGTATGATATTATTTAATTATGCTAGTAACTCAAGGCTGAATTGATCAAGTCACAATTGAAATATGTTATTGATGGTCCAAATCAAAGAACAGTTATCCAATCAACTGAACCAAATCCAACTGCTTATTTCAGTGAAATTGGAAAGTACATCCAATAACTCAAGGATGCCAAGAAGGGTCTGTTGTTTGTTGCAGACACTTTCATCTATGGAGCCTTTGGTGAGAACAATTTCAATGTAGAGGAATTGAGCAAGCAAATTGAGGAGGAAGGATAACAATTGAAAGTGAATAAACAGAATAAGATTAGTGTTAAAGATGGAAAGGTATAGTATTTTAGTTAATGATAGAAAACTATTCAAGTGAATGATGTGTTAACATTCTCCATCTTAGGTAAATTCAACAAGAATAAAGCAACCAAATATCTTAAAGAGCAAGGTTTTGCTTAATTTTGAGATAATATATATAAAGAAAGATAAATATAATCTAACATAATTTTATTCAAATTTCTATACTCTTATAAATGACTCATTAATTTTGGAAAGTAAAAAGATGCAGATACGTAGGTGTTTTCTACATCCTCAATAAGAAATCAAGTATATTGTCCTTAACCATCAATGCTAACACTTCACTCGATTAGTTTGCACTCAGTGTCTAGATGAGTTCCAATTAGATTACCAAAGACATGGAATCCAAGAATTATCTAAGGTATAAGTCTACATCTATTTAGATTGAATAATAATTGTGTAAAATATTCTTTCCTTTAATCAAAGATGAGAATGTCAAATAAATGATCTTTGATTTCTATCAAACAGAGTTCTTCACTATTTCCGATCAATATCAAAAACTCAGGGAAATCTGTAAGAATAGCATAGATCTGATACAGAGTTTGGTTAACAAATTGGATGTCTTGATTCAATAAGTCAAACTCAAGCAAATAGTATTTGTTTAATAAGTATGAATTCTCTCTATATATACATACATAGACCTTCCAATTCCATAAAATAAAGGATCTCTTTACTGATTTACATTAAGTCAAATCGAAAGATGTCTCCTCTATAATTCAATAGAAAGTTACTGACTATTTTAGATACATAAGAAAATTAACACCTGAGCAAGTTCACATCTAGATTCAATAATAAAAATAAGAGAACTCATCAGATATTGAATCCCTTTAGGTTGATGACATGATCACTTCCTATTAGGCTATTATTACAGCAATGAGAGATTTGGAATTAAGAAAAGTCTCTAAAATTCCAAAGCCAGTTCATCAATAAGGATGTGGTACCTTATTACAGACACTAGAACAAATTATTAGCAAAAAGCACAATGAATAACTGAAGGCTGAGTTGGTTTACAACCATAAAGAAGATTATGAAAAAGTGCAATTTTGGTCTAATTTGACTGGATAACCCAATACGCTTGTCATTTGTAAATAAAAGAACTCTTAATACTTTGGTGGTTACACTCCATCTCAATGGCAATATGGATTTCCTGGCAAAGATCCTGATCTTATTACATTCTTATTCCAATGTCATGGATAGGAATTGAGAGTTCATACTATCAATAGAGAACTAAAGTAAAGGGCAATAAATTGTGGAGTGAAACAGATGGAATTTGGATAGAAGAATTTGGTGATATCAACAGATTTTTAGAGAGTCGAGATGAAAATATTCCCAGGATTTTCTGAATAACCAGACAAATATCATGTATGTCAAACCATAACAGATGAACAAGATATCTTTAAAGTATATGTGTTAAAAAAAATCTCTTGATAAATATTTATTAATATTTGGTATTGTTTTTAAAACAAACTCATTTATTTAATGCTGGTAATTGCACTTTCTATTTTTTGCTATAATCTGTTTTTTCAGCTGTGTTGAGATCAAGTGACATGATTTTCAATGCCATAGATTTTTCATAATTATCTTGTACTTAACCTGGATTTGGACGTGTTAATAAATTATTTAAACTAATATAGTAATTAATTGTTTATACGTGCTCTTAGACCATTTCTCTTAGTAAGTGGTTGTCCAATGTTAAGATGTGGCTAAATCAGATTAACGCATCTAAATAATAATAAAGATATTTGTATACTTTGAGTTCATAATCAGTCTAATTTAATCGATTAATAAATGACTATTCGTATTTATATTTTAGGTCTCTATTGACAACACTAATTTTGATGAATCCAAAATCTATATTTAAGTTATGTCCCAATCTAGTAAGATCATGAATGGCCTTGATCAATGAGTTGTGTATGGATTATACAACATCCTTGCCTAAATAACTGATTTCATTAACATTCGTCTTACCAAGATGCAGCAATGGGTCCAGCATTGCAAAAGTTCATTCCAAAGCCCTTTTAATATATGGAATGTTGACTCAAAGGCTTTGTTATTTCCTCTTTTCCAGGATAACGAGCCAAGAAATATTTAAAAGAATTGTCAGGAACAAAACATGGTCTTGATCTATGATAACAATGATCTACCTTATCTGATGAACATGTTTTCTCTCTGCCCTTTGAATTCCCAAATCTTGAGTCATGTTAAATCCTGAATGTTGGAGTGGCTTAACATAATCTGAATTAACTTCCATTGTAAATGCTCCCAACTCCTTCATATTGACACCCTAGAGTAATCAATGAGTATGATTACATTTCCGTTAAGCATTTTCTCTTTAATGTATTCTGCAGTAGCCTTGATGACTATATGAAATTGAGCTTTTGCTTCAAGTGGCTTATAAGATGCAATAGTTCTTGGCTGGGATTCCTGGTGTTTCCCTGGATAGTTTTGACTATGGCCAAGGATCCTGTGATCTCAATGCTTATATATATACCAATTATAGACATCGTCGAGGTTCATGAAACTGATTTTTATGTATATTAATAATCATAAGAAATAATCTGGTACTCTTTTTGGAACTGTCTCATTTTCTGATCTGGGTGCTGGATCAAATTGGATGCTATTGTTTTAATCATTATAAGTACAATGTTTGTCTTAGATTCTCATCCACCTCCATAATTCCAGCTTGATTGCCACATCTGTAACAGTAATTAGGAGCAGAGAATATAGTCACAACATTTCTATCGTGAGCCAAAGAATAACCCTATAATTAATGATAATTCTCATACATCCATGACCAATTGATGTGCTCTTGCAATCATCTTTAATTTGTTATTGTGATTGAATTACTCAGAGATGTCTTATCCAAAAGTATATCCAGCTCCTCTGGGTGATATTCCCCATCCAGATCTGTCATCAGGATCACTCCATAGTAAATCGCACATTGGTCCTTCATGTGGAACTTCCTGCACTCTATCTAACTATCGAATGTGATCCAAGGTGTCAATTGAAGGTGAGATACCACCATGCAAACAGAAAAACTTAATGGATTAAATGTTAAAATACTTGAGATTCAACAACTGCAGTCAATGGTAGGTAATCAAAGAGTTCGGTGAAGTATTTCCACACATTACTATTGCCATACTTTCTTGAGCATTCATCATAGAAACCATAAACTTATGTGATTTGTCTTGATTCATGATTTCCTCTTAGGATTGTGATTCTATCTCTATGACGAATCTAATTATTATTCTATGTTATACTTTCAATAGGACAAGTAGTGTTACGCATTCGACTGAATGATGTCCTCTATCTACGTAATCACCCATGAATAGATAATTTGTATCCTGAATTGAAATTAAATCATTACTGGTGCTTTGCCACCTATTTTAAATAATTCCATCAAATCATGGAATTGACCGTGAATGTCACCACAAATGATCACTGGGGCTCGGACTGGTTACACATTTGATTCTTCGATTAAAATTTCTTTTGCCTATAAAGAAAATATAAAATTATAAAAAAACCTTTTCACATAATTGTTTGACATCCTATTCAGGAAGTGGCTTGCATTAGTATAAATGTTAGATCTAATTGTCTAGATTATTTGCCTCTGGGGTTGTAATTTTAGAAGTCATTTAATTTAATTTTTGAATCAATTGGAGAATATTTAAGAATATTGAACAAATTTATAAAAGAAAATTTCATATTACACTATTTATAAAAGAAAATTCAAATTAATATTCAGAATTACACAGAGTTATTTAATTTTCTAAATAAAAATGGCAAGGTCTAATGTAATTCTTATAAGTAAATCTAGAAATGGAAATAATTCGTACCTCAATAGCCACAAGAGTAATAACCAAATGATGATGTCAAACCAGCAGCCAACAAGAAATTGATGAAATTTGCGGATACATAAGCATATTAAGTGTCAACACACGATAATAATTATAAAGATGCAATTGACATTGAAATAAGTGAAGATTTTTTTACCACTTAACCGGTCTATCTAGAAATTAGTGTGAAGGATCAGGCTATCAAATTCATAATTTAAGTCACTTAAGCAAATGTCGTAAAAACTCAAAATCAGAGGATTAGTGTATTGAAGACCATAACTGATTTATATAAAGTAGATTACGATGTAAATATGCGATTTTAAGCATATTTTAGAATCGTGAATGAATAAGAAAAGACTTATCAATTGTCTTTTGTTGAGATATTGGTAAAGGAGCATTTTCTATCTAGAAGAGATATGGTGTAAATCAATTAAAAGTTGCTCAAAACTACTTGCTACACAAAAAAGAATGTCATCATACAATACGCAGGGGATTTTCTTAAAGCTTCGATCTAAATATCTCAGTTGATGATGAGAGACATCAATAATTAAGAATATGCATATACAGGAATAATCACTGAGGAAACCAATATTGTGTATAGAAGTTTGGAATCCAAGATGGCAATCCTGATTGAATTATCCTCTGAAACATTCAAAGATGATGCAATAGGAGAGATTGCCTTAGAAAGCATGCAGAAATTCCTAAAAGTCTACTATTTACGTAATCAATCACTGATGACTAACCATAAACTGGAAATTATAATCTACGCGAGGATATACTTCCCTGAAATTAGGACTGTTGATGAGTTGTACAATTAATTGATAAACAATTCCAATCAAGAATAAACATACCCACCTCACGCCTAATTGGATCAATTTGGGAATGTCTGTATAGATATTTACAAGAAGGTTCCAGAGAAAAAGCCTTTAAGATAATTCGACTAGTTGGCTTAGACTGTAATTCAAACCATTTAGGAATTGACCGCTTGGATCAATGTGAAAACAATTAATAATTATCATTCTCTTTTTGTTAAGGATTATCTGAAGAAGAAACCAGAATTCAAGTAGGTCTAATCAATCAAAGGAGAATTGAGCAGTTCCAAGTATTCCAACCTATTGGAAGCAATCACTCTAGTAACCTAGAACTTTAGGCTAGATCATACAACGAGATCTTTAAAGAATTCTGGTCACTTCTTGTTGATTCTGTCTCCAGGTAATGGGTATTACTTTGGAGATTTGAAAACCTATAAAATTGCAAAGAAGAATGCTCTGAATAATAACATCGTGTGCATGTTGAATTGCTTTGGACGTATTCCCAATATTACAGGTCCAATCTTCTATTTGAGAGAACACAATCTACCAATAGAGCGTGATCCAATTGCTCCCTTAACTTAAATACAATAAAAATATTTTTAGAATACCAGCACTCATCTAAATTAGGAAAAATACTAATATAATTATTAAGATAGGAATAAAATAAAATAAGTAAACGATGATACTGAAGTGTAATCCTATTTGAGACATGCTTATTGGATTCAAATAATTAAATACAACGATGAATTTCTCAGGTCCTTTTTTATGCTATACGATAGACAAAATCAAAATGATCTCCTTCCCTTTTGTTTTAAAAAGCAGAAATTTATCTCATTTTCTTAAGTGGATTTCACCTTATTGAGTTATTAAGAACAAAAAAAAAAATTCAATCAATTGGAAGATCTCCAAAAATTCGATGAAATATTAAGGAATTCTATAAAGGATCCAAAATAATCAGATCATCAATTAAAATAATAATAGATGGGTTCTATGCTAATAGAAGAAGCACCTAATCCTTATAATCCGACAGTGGATTCTGGGTAATAAGTGAATATATTCGCAACGACATATTATGAGAAGAAACCAGAGCAATAAGAATAACCATAAACAGAGAAGAAAATAGTTAAGAACAACCAGAAGAAGAAGATCAAGTCTCACAATAGAATAAAGTGGAAATTGTATTAATGGGGATGGAAATCACATTAATTTATATTTTAGATGAAGGATTTTTATCATAAACTATTTAAGAATTATTTGTTAAATCACATCAAAGAAGTTGAATAGAACTTATTCTAAATGGAGTAGAATTGGAAGAATATCTGCTATGTTCCATTATGTCCTTTGAAATCAGTGATGGTCTATGAAGAATAGAAGTAATATAAGACAAGTGGTGAACAACAAGTAGTAGATAATATTGGAATCAAAGAATTTGAGGATTAAGTTATGGGAATTCTGTTGTCTGAGAATTATTAATATGTGTAACCTGGAGAACAAACTGAAGATGAATATGGAAGTAAGTTACAGTGCTATAAGAATCAATAAAAGAGCTACCCCATGAAATTCATTAAGGGTGGACACATCATCACTCTGTATTACGAATTGCAGAATTACAAAATTGAAGAATACAATAAGAATAATTTGAAGGCAGAAACAAAGAAGCATCGCTACATTTCCATTTAAAATGATTCTGCAATCATCCCCCAATTATATAGATATAATCTGCATGGGAATAATTCTATCACATGCAGAGAAATCTTGTTTTCTGAAGGAATAGACACTCACATAAAAGGATTGATCCGTATCTTCAGTGATTTGGATTAGACCTCTAAATATACAGAAGAAAACATTTGCTTTATGAGACCCAAGAAAATAGGGCTTGCCTTTATTCCAAATGAATCCTTACAGGCAGATAAGAAATAGAGACAATAATAATATGAGAAATGGAGAGATAATTTCAACAAATTCATGGAGAAATTGAAATAACAACTTAGGTGTTTTAATTCTGAAGCCATTCGAATACAACATGTTTCTAAGTATAAAGAAATGTAAAAGGATCTATTTCATCAACTCAATTTAAAGTACACCACCAGTCTGCCAGAATATAAGTCATAATTACACAATGAGAAATATGAATAATTATGTATCACTTCTTAAGCCAATTATTGTCCAAAATGTATATACAATATCAATCTATTGTGGATCTCAAGCACTGCCTTACCAATCATTAAAGTGATTGAAATTATGGAAATTTGTTCCAATGGATTCAAGTAAGTTCAAATACCTGGAAATATCGATAGTATATTCTAATAACATCTTCCCTTTGAGAGTATATACAAATTCAAGATATCAACAAAGGAAAAGATGAAATCCGTAAAAAAGTAAGTAAGATATCCTCCATACGACTGCTTTTATGATAGATATGACATTCCGGATAGTAATCAATTATTAGTACATAGTAAAGGGCTGTTCTTCTTAAAGTTTGATTTTAAAGTAATAATTTAACAATTACAAATAGAACCTGGAAATTTTATTTAAAGAAAATTTGTTATATAGTGAGGAGACCACAAATTAAAGAACCATTTAATAAATATTCATGAAATTGAAATAATTAATTAATGAAGAGAATGATAAATTAAAAATGTGATTTTATTTATTTAGTATTATATTACACTATTTAAAATGGATCAAAATCCTCTTCCAAATGGCTTTTAATTAGAACCATGCCCTCCAAAGCAAGGAGTAAATGGAGATATATTCACATGCAGTAAAGATGGAAACTTGTATGCAATGAAAATCTTCAAGAAAAACAAAGAATAATATTTACATGAAGTTAATATTTGCACAACTCTTAAGTCTCATGTCAATATCATCAAATTGATAGATAATTTTGAATGGCAAGGAAACAGAGTAATTATATTGGAGTATTGCTCAAATGATTTAATTTCATACCTAAATCAAAATCCACATTTATCAGAATTGGAGAGGCTAAACATCTTCGCATAAATTGTAAGTGCATTTAAATCCATCATCGAAGACTTGAATAGTGTCGAAATGCATTTCTCACATAGAGATATCAAACCTGAAAATTTGATGCTGGGTGATGATAATATGATTAAGATCATAGATTTTGGAGAAAGTCGAATATTTGACAATGATAATTAAATTCCAACCTTGAAAAATTAATTGTATGGTACTCATGGATATATGGATCCAATAATGGAATTTGGAGGAGATGGATTCTAAGAAAAATCCGATCTATGGTCTATGGGAGCCACCTTATATTATATCTTAAAAAACGAGAGATTGCAAATCAATTCAAAAGATATCTACTAGTCTGCTAGAATGATTTAGCCTGATAAGACAGTTTCATAAAATTAGTCTGATAAGACAGCTTCAAAGATCTTGTCTGAAAAGAGGAAGTAGGCCAAATTAGATATGGTATAAGAGATTATCAATTAATCATTAATTCAATTGCCATTCTCTGATTAATGCAAAGATCTCTTGGATAAATTATTGAGAGTGGATCACAATATAAGATATGGGTGGAATTAACTATTTGAAAATGAATTGATAAAGTAATTATTAGAATCTCTACCACAGGGATAGATGCAATAGAAGAATGATCGTAAGAAACCAATAAAGTTGTCATATTAAATGAATAAAGATTTTCTATCAATGAATTTCAAGTAATAAGCAGGTCCAATATTAACTGAAACCTTGTATGTCATTATAAGTAAAGGAAAGTAATGTGCTTCAACTGCTAATGAGATGTTTAAATACTTTAACTAAATGAAGTTTGTAAATGAGGATTTTATGAATAATTGGTAAAACTTTGAAAAATGCAATTATTTATTACATCTCAGATCTCTCATTATTCTAAATCATTACAATCAAATTTTTACTCTCAAAACTCCAAAATCAGGTTAAGAATCAATAGATTCTAAGCTATTTGAAGATTTGACGAATGGAACTTAATAAAATTAATAGATATATGATAGAATCTAATTACAAGTCTATTACTTGTTTGAGGATGTAAGAAAGAGTTTGTAGGGGAGTGGTCTAGAAACAAGAATATTGAATTTAACGAAACTCTCATCAACCGAAGTAAATGAATATAATTAGACATTGGATTTCACTGAAGAAGAGAGAGAATATTTTTAATATAGGAAAGATGATAAAATGAATGTAAAAAATCGTCCTGATTATTTTGATAAACCGTATTTTTACGAGATTTATAAATCATATCTTTTGAAGTGCATAAAAGTTCTAATAAACAATTATGATAAAGATGGTGTTTCGATTTTGAGCGATATGATTATTTCCTATAAATTAGAAGAATTCTATGAGAAATGCACTCAAACCAAAATTTAGAATTACTTATACAATCAAACAGAGCAAAATAAAGAAGTTTTTTATGCTAAATTGAAAGCTATTTATAATTCATTAATTGAGAAGTGATTATTATTCAGCAACATTGCTTCTTCTACTTAGTTTATTCTGGTTGTGTCTCTTTCCTCAATACGTAAACATCATTGATTCCCAATAGAGTCTGACTGATGGGTTTCTAAGCAGACACAATCTTATAAATCTCTAAATTGATAATAATTGATTGATTACCTGTAACCATCTAATTAAAGGCCAATTCCACATTTACGTTATTCAAAGCAGATGTCTCTATATATCCAACCTTATTTTACTCACAAAATTATGACACTTCATCAGTCCTTACAATCTTTCATAAATTATATATACATACTCTCTATTCTGCCAAATCTATTTTATTGCCTACCAACATTATCACAATATCATGATCTCCAAATTACTTTATTTCACTCATCCATCTTAATGTTGATTCATATGTTCCCTATTTTGTTACATCATAACAAACGAACACTCCCTTCGCGCCTCTATAATAAGCATTAGTGATTGCTCTAAATCTAACACTTAACATAATCTCTCTTACTTCTCCTATCCTGCTGTATCCCATATTTAACACTTAACCAAATTCCCATCTTATCTCACTGTTCGATTTATGAATTCCACTCCTATTGTTGGTCGAGTATCATATTAAAATTCCTTATTTTGCAATCTGTTGAATAAGTTAGTCTTGCCAACTCCTGAATCACCTAATCATTGTACATTGACCATACCTATCAGAATGATTTTGAACAAATAACTGAATTCATCTTCCATCATATTTAAAATAATAAATATAAAATATGCATTCTATATATATATATTTCACCTCCAAAACATATTCAAACCAAACCTTGTCTATTACTGCGGTTCTTATTGCTACTTTTGTTAAACTTCCTAGGCCTTCTAAGTCCAAGCATTTATTTAATCTTTTGTAGTTTACTTCTGTTGCTATATAATTGTGTAGTTATGGAAATGTTATTCTAATGATAAATCTATCCCTTCTAGGTTTAATTAAGTCCTCTTTAAAGACTTATTGTTGAACTTTCCAGTCTTAAACAGGTTTTAGTAATATTCCTACGCCTTCTCTGGATGAATAGCAGTAGCCAAGTTCCTGTATTCAATCGAAAATTAAATGTCCACTTTTTATAACATGAGTTTGATTATTTAAGAGATCGTTTCTCTCTTAATTTCTTAATTTTGTAATTAATAAACTGAAAATAATAGTTAGTCTATTTCTTTTAAATCCCATTGATTGCTCTATTCGCAATACAGATCGAGTTGGTATTTTAGTAATTATTCATTCCATTAGTAGATTAAGACATTGTAATAAAAACATATGAGAAAGGAATCTTTATTCTACTCAAATATATTATTTAATAATTATGAGTATTCCTTAACCATTTTTTAACAATCCTATATACACTATTAATGTTTGTATTCAATTTCATCATGTGGCAATTTCTCTATCAAATCTGTGATGTCCTTTATTTCTTTTATTTTGCTTTAATAAGCTTTATAAATTTCTAAGAATTCCTTTTCTTATTTGATCTATTCTTTCTCAATGATCTAAAATAATTATTAAAAGTGATTGTTCAATGCTGAATCAAACCAATCCTTCCAAATTTAAACAGTTTGATTTTTCATCTCTTAAGGAATAAGTCCTTATTCCTTCTAAATTGATTAATAAAGCTCATGATTAAATGTTCCATTTTAAACAATATTCTAGATTAGTTTCTCTAAAATTTAAACTTATATAGTTTTTGTTTAGGATAATACATTTTGTTTGAATTTATCGATTTGAGATTGATCTATTTAAAAGAGAGGGACTTAATTATTAATGAGTATGTCATATATTTGTTCGATAGTCAATTAAATATAGTTTTATTTTAGGAGTATTAATTAAGTGTAATGGTCAAATGAATGAATTAAATCTATTTTAGCAATTACAGCTTTAAAATTATTGCAATTCAAACTTCCATATTCAATAAGTTTGTTAAAGAATGCGGATAGATTATTTTAATGAATCAAGAGTGTATCAATTACATTATTGAGATTGCATTCCTACTCTATTTATTCTAATAGGATAATTGGATACAATCGCTCAGAATCATTCAATTAATATTTATTCTAGGCATACAATAATGCTATCTGTGAATTGTAACAATATCCATTTTTCATAGATTACTTAACCTTTTTCATAAAATATGTAAAGGATTTGCATTTGAGATCTTGCTATTATTATTTGATATTATTGTTATTGGATTCATTGATCTGCATCATGTTTTATTATGTTTTATTTGTAATCGTTCTAGGTATATTAATGTATTTTACATAATCTATTTGGTGTAATCACTAATGCCATTAAGTAGATCAGCACAATTAAGGAGTTCGTGATATTTGGAGCTGAAGAGATCCTTTAATTCCTTGTTCTTAGTAGTAATTTCTTTCTGGAGATTTTGCTATTCGCGTTGAATTTCTTGAATAGGCTTAGTAAATAATTATTCGACTGCAATCATTATTTAAATTATTAGAATATTTAATCAAGTCTTCCAAGTAATAATGTGATATCTTCAGGTTCATCTACATGACTATGCCAAATCAAGTATGGTTTCTTATCTTAAATTGCATACACCGCGATTTCTTCAGATTTACCACCAATCGCATAATTATTACAATTTATTTAAGGAAACAGCTCTTCTAAATTCTTTTTCAATTTATCTGCTCTAGATTTGAATATCTACTAAGAACAACAATAGTTAATTTGAAATTATACGCCCAATTTTTTAAGAGCGCTTTACTTTTTTTTCAATAGAATCTTATTCAAGATTTCATTCTATTTCGACCTCCTTGAAATTTCATAAGCATCTCTCTTATAAGAAGACAAATTCAGCCAATCATATACTAAACAAATCGCTATTACGCTTTAACTCATATTAGGATGTACTTTAATATAATATTCCCATCTTTCATCTGCGAAATATTCAAAAGGTAGCTTTGCATATTCCTACATTAACTGTTCTTCTGACATATTGTCCATTTTTAAATTCATAAATAATATAACAAAATTTAAAAAATCACTAAAATTTGTACACACCACCAAATTCTTAAGAAAAAGTGTTGGTTACCACTTGAACCTCCTCCTCAATTTAGTCTACTACTTTATTTGTTAAGTCATTAGATGATAACATTATCTATTCTAACAAGTCCATTTCGTTCATTTATTTGATATATTTGTATTTCTGTGGGTTTTTATTATATGGCAAATCACCTTCCAATATCAATTCAGTATTTAATCCCAACTATTCTGTGATATACTTCTATCTTTTGTATGAATATTCACTCTCAGTTGTATCCTTACTGGCTAAAGAATAAAAGAATGCTTGAATTTCATGATTTGTATTTTGTTTTGGCCTCATCACTCTGCCTAAACGTTATACTTTCTATCTTCTTGATCCTCCCAAATACCCTATTTCAATTCCTACACTAGCAGATGGAATATCTATCCCAGTATCTCCAACCCTAGACACAAAAATTGTTTTTATTTCATTCGAATTCTTGAAAATACTAAAGATTTTATTTTTTTCATCAGTATTTAAATCCCCATCTATAACTGGATATCCTAATAAGAGAGCATAATAATTAAGTATTAATAATGAATCACAGAACACAATAATCTTATGTCCTAACATCTCATGATTTTTTATCAAAAATTGTAATGCTTTATATTTTCCAGGATTTCCTGTATGTAACAATTATCTAACAGTCATATTATTTTTAGTTTGATATTCTTATAAAAAGATAGGAGTCATATCACATTGGATCTCAATAATATGGGGCTTTGCTAGAAATCCTTAAGTCATTAGATCAATTAAATTCTCTTCATATAACTTTGGACCTATCATAAAATACAAGTTATCCAACTTTTGATCTTCTCTCAAAAGTGTTGCTGTTAAACCAATCTTAATAGCGCATTTTATTTATTTCAAGACATTTTAAAATTATACAGCAGGTAATCGATGTACTTCATCAACAATACAAATCCCCCAACTAACTTCTGATATTTGATTCCAAACAGTCTTTGTACTTGATGAATTATTTCTAAATTGAGCTATTAACCAAGAATATGTAGTTAAAATGACTATAGGTTATTCACCTTACCATTTATCTTTTGCGAATCCAGTAACACGTATTATTCTTCTATTATCAATAGTAGTATAACCCTCGATTTCTCTCTTCCATTATTCAACAGATACATTTGAATCACAAATTATAACCGTCGAACTCTTTATCAAACTCATACATAGCACTCCTACTAAAGTCTTTCCTGCACCACAAGGTAATACAATTAGACCAGATTTTGCATAGTCTCCCATTATTACATTTTTTGCCGCTCTTAATTAATATAATCTAGGTTTAGTAGATGGTTTCAAATTGATGTCTAATTTCTATTGCTCTTTTGTAAAATCATATTCTTAAATTAGAGGAACTGATGAACGAATCAAAGCTTAAGCTACATCAAAATAATCTCCAACTATTCTGAATCGTTTGAATTTGATAGTCTGTATTTTATCCTATGCCAACCAATCTTTAAATGTGTCAATCTCCTTTGCCATTTATTCAATATCTGCTTCCTTTAGCTCTATTTATTACTCAAAATTCTTCAATTAAGGATTCACTTAAATATTATGAATAATCTATTCTTCTTAGATTACTTCTTGCAAACTATTCTTATCCTACAAATTCATCATTATTTAATTTAAAACTGTCTCACCAATGTCTATATAATAACTCTTGTCTTGCAAAAAGAATTTCGCTTATCCAATATTATTCGTATGATGTCGTATAAATTGTTCCATTCTCTAAGGAACCTTATTTTTTGATAGTAGATCTAATAGCCTAATTATATCATCCGCTGAATACTAGAGCACCATGGCTGTATACATACTCATCTAAGTCAATCTTAATTAAAAATAATCTATACACATATTCATGAATCAACTCTGATCTGCTTATTGGTTCAGCTACACACATTAAAAACTCAAATGCAATTTCATACAAAGGATTGAATTTCTCTACAATTATACCCAAATCAGGACTCAAAATTAATGGTTTATTTGATTAAACTATTTCTATATTCCTATAATCCATGTTATCTCCTAATAATAACTTTTGCACTTCCGGAGGTTAAGTTTACAATTTTCTTTTCTTCACCTCAAAAGACATAATTAAATTAATTATTTCACTTTTTGAAGCGCAAAATATTATAATTTAAATATTTACTTATATCACTTTTTGTATATATATAATGAATTTACTATGAAAATGAAGAAATCTCAAAATATAAAAATATTTGATAGAAGTGTTTGAATAAATGAATTATGAATCTTATATCTTTTTTTCATTTTTTTTTTTGAAAAAAATTCTTAAGGAAGGTGCCCTTCCAAATCTCAAACTTATTTTCTTTTTATACTTGTTTAATAGGAGCCAAAGGTTAAGGAGGTGGTACTATTTAACCCTAAATTTTAATAAAGCCTAAATTTAATAGGATAGTTGAAAAGTCTTTGTTTCCTATAAATTTTATGGAAAATAATTCATAAAATTATCGTATCATTTCATTTTTGCAGAATTTCGTAATTTCCTAAGATTAAATCATTTCATTACATCAAAAGTTCGCAATTTAAGAAGATTATCTTAACAATACTTTAACATTCCAATTAGAAAAGTGTGAATGATCATTTCACCTTCAAAAAGGAATAAATCAAAAATCATTCTACTGATTTCCCAAGAAATTCCATACATTAATAAGGACAGATATTATTATTAGAAACACACATTCAGATCTACATTAGACTCTTAAAAGTGTTCATATAATTTTGGCAATTCATTTTAAAATTTTAAATCCAAAACCTTCATCATTTTAATCAATCCCGGAAATCCAGGAATGAAAACTGATCTCCAATTTAATTCTACCATTATGTATATGAAAAGATAAAACACATTTTCATCTCTTGATGGATCTATGATTTCAACATCTAAAATAATTAATTAGGTTTACCTTCTAAAAATTTTTCATCATTTGTTTTCAAATCATAACAGATTAGTAAATTTGCTGCAATAATATTCATTCCTTAGGTATACCCCAATTCAGGATCATAATTTGCGTAAGCCATCAATATCTTTTTTAAACTAGTTTGGTTTTCTTGCTATGTTTACGAATATGCTTACTAAATTCAAGAATCTATTTCCCATTAATGCTCTTGGAATATCCTTGTCAATTTATGATGAAAAATAATTATCTTAGGTAGAATACTGAAAAAATGAGGAATTTTTCTATCGAATTTTTTATTTTATTAGGTCGGTCTAACAAAACAATAACCAAATATCTCTCCTCTCAATAAAGAATAGATTTTAAGTTAATAATGATACATGTATATCATGCATCATATATCCTATTAATGATTTCTACTTGATTATTTTCTTCCAATCATTTTAGTCCAAAATTTTGTATTCATTGCCATTTTATTAATGCTCAATTATGATGAAATCGGATATTTCCACTTGAATCAATTTAAATTCCAATTACTCCTAACCTGTTAGTGGATGATCATCCTTTGATTTTTTTAACATTTAACCATGATTAATCTTCATTTTGTTCTAATTTAAGATAGCTCATTTATTACATCGTCAACATTTATCGCGCTGATTGATCTTTTTGTTTGTTTATTTCCAAATGATTACTTTTTAATTAAAGATTCTTTTTGGCTAGGTTTTCTTGGTATTTTCTAAAATTTATTATAAATATCAACATCTATGATTTCAAAAGCTAGTGAACCGAAAATTTCTTGAGATTCTGAAGTTGAGTTCAAGTCTCTAATCATTTAACTTTTGTAAATTAATTAATATAAAGAGAAATTTACATAATTTCATTTTCTACTCTCCTTTAGCAATTTTATTAAAAATTCTATCGATTGATTGGAATTTTTGGTGTCTCTCGAACTGTAATAATTTTGACTAGCCTTTATTTTTACAGGATTTATTTTATTTTTCTTATATATAAAATCCATCTACTTCGAAAGGTCATTTAATTAAGATATCTCAGGATATGAATGTTTATTAATTCGCCATCTAATCTGATTCGATTGATCTTACTTATTGCCTAATTACTCATTCAATTTCTTAATATTTAATTAATCTTTATATTACATTTCTTCTCCATCAGTAATCTTTCTTCTAGTGATTGGAATCAATTCTGAATTTTGAATAGTTTAACAAATTCGCTCTTATGAAAAATTTGCTTTATTCAATGTCTTTAGCTTCTATTGTATTTTTGGAAGTTGATAGCAAAGGACCTTTTTATTTGATTCATTGAAAATGTTATCTTTTAATAAATGGATACGCTGACTAGGTAAACAGGATAATGGGGATTCCTTATTAATAGCTCTTTTTGTTAAGTAAGAAAATGTTTCATCAAAATTTTTGTACTTATTGTTAACATAATGATTGAAAATTTTTTAACTTTAAATATTCTTAAGAATTTTCTCTAATTTATTAGGTTGAGTTCTCATAGAGTGTATATTTGGATAAACTTACAAATCAAACTACATTGACATAGTTCTTTGTTATAAAAATAGGTTAAATTAATTATATTAAAACAATTATTCACTAATATTCAGAGTATACTGAAGCCATGGAACTTATAGATGATCAGAATATATTTCTAAATAAGATATTAGAATAGCATTGAGAGAAATCCCAGTTTATAAATTAACTGAAATGATATGTGAGGCATTACTTCACTAAATGCGATTTATTGATTCAACAAGAAGTCACAATGGTAATTAGAATTTTTTGAGGTTTCGAAAAAAGAATGAACTTATCATAAATTTCTTATGTCTAAAGAAAATTACTTAAATAATTGATAATTGATATTTTATTAAGAACTGGTATTTATGTATGTGTTATAAATTGCATGAAAAAAGGGAAGATTAAAGGAGATATCAATGAATAGAGCAAACCATCATGAGTAACTAATTGGTTAAAACATAGCAAAGGATAAATAAGCTAAAAAAAATGTTATAATATATAATTAATATAAAATATATTGTTCATGAATATAAGGATTTTACAGAATGAAATATATGTTATAACCAAAATATTTTATCAGATGATAATTGCTTAACTAAAAATTTTCATTCTAAATGATATATAACTTGAGGTGCAATTTTTATGGATTTTGGCACTCTTTATTGACCACATTTTTTCGGTTTAGTCAACTAATAAGATGGTTTCTGTTTATTAATTATTCTATTTCATATTTTATAATAATTGTTGATTGTATATATAAAAATTAGATTCTCAGTCTCTAATCAACTAGTCTTCTATTATAAAACTATATATTCTTCCCTATCCAGCAATATTATGATGAACTTTTGGCTAAATTCAAATTAGTTTTATTGAAATAAGGAATACTAAATAATATTAAACACCTATAAAGTAATTAAGAAACTCATCAAAAAGTGTTCCCTTTGTGAGTATTGACAATATAATCCGATTAAATATAGTAAAATACTGTCTAAGAATAATTCAATATTTTAAAGAACTCGATTGGCTATTGGAAAAAGATATATTATCAACCCAAATCTCATCTGGCTAATAAATGAACAATCGCTAGATAAAATATTTATCTTTATCAATCAATCCTGTAAAGTGAAAGATTAAGTAAATTACCACATTATATGGCAAATCATAACAAGTTAAGGCTATTTCTCTTTTGTGACTTCAATAAAACACAATGGTGCTTCATATGTTAATGAGGTATGAGATTTTTGGTTATATTTATTAGACACATTATAAAGATTTATTCGTAAACAACAAAGGTTATTTAATTACCATTAACAGAAGATGGATCCTAAAAACATATTTCAATTATATGAGGGTAAAAGAAATAGTGTTCTTTTGGAATGATATATCGATCATCTGAAATTAATATTACTTCTTACATTTATTTTAAGTGTGCAAAATTGAGTCTTTTCTTCTATTTAGATTTAATTTTGAAATTCTTCATTCCTTTCAATTGATAAGCGATAGATATTAATAAATTTTTTTAGATGTTGTTCTAACTTCATCTTATTTTTTTGTTCTAAGGCTTATAATCAATCAAAGGCTAAGCTACAACTATTATGAACACTTAATATTAGTTGAAAAAGATGCTATTTAATTCGACTACAATCCCAAATAATGCAATTTGTTTTTAGTATGGAATTTTTAGTTAGTATACTCCTCTAAGTAATATTACACAATTTGGGGAAATTGGAATTCTGGATAGCAACTGCTATCATATACATAGCGCCATTGGATAATATACCAATAAAATTAACTTTATACTTTATGATTGTATTGATCAAAAAGAATAAACGATTGAGAAGTCAGTTGCATTTATTGGAAGCGATGGCACAATTTACAAATAGTCTTATTAATTAAACCTGGAAAAATATGAAAATTTTTGGTACTTTTTTGGGCTCGTATTCAATCTTAAAGATAATAGCATCACGCTTTATATTTAATAGAAAGAGGTTGTGCTATATACTCAAGATTTTAATGTTTAATATCCATATTAAGATACAGATTTGGAATTAACTTTTGGAGGGGATTTATTTATAAAAAATAATTAAATGTTATATACAGAATTATTATCTAAACTGTCGTATTTTCCTGGAAGGATGATTTATTTATCCCCAGTTTCTTTTGNTTAGTTTTATTGAAATAAGGAATACTAAATAATATTAAACACCTATAAAGTAATTAAGAAACTCATCAAAAAGTGTTCCCTTTGTGAGTATTGACAATATAATCCGATTAAATATAGTAAAATACTGTCTAAGAATAATTCAATATTTTAAAGAACTCGATTGGCTATTGGAAAAAGATATATTATCAACCCAAATCTCATCTGGCTAATAAATGAACAATCGCTAGATAAAATATTTATCTTTATCAATCAATCCTGTAAAGTGAAAGATTAAGTAAATTACCACATTATATGGCAAATCATAACAAGTTAAGGCTATTTCTCTTTTGTGACTTCAATAAAACACAATGGTGCTTCATATGTTAATGAGGTATGAGATTTTTGGTTATATTTATTAGACACATTATAAAGATTTATTCGTAAACAACAAAGGTTATTTAATTACCATTAACAGAAGATGGATCCTAAAAACATATTTCAATTATATGAGGGTAAAAGAAATAGTGTTCTTTTGGAATGATATATCGATCATCTGAAATTAATATTACTTCTTACATTTATTTTAAGTGTGCAAAATTGAGTCTTTTCTTCTATTTAGATTTAATTTTGAAATTCTTCATTCCTTTCAATTGATAAGCGATAGATATTAATAAATTTTTTTAGATGTTGTTCTAACTTCATCTTATTTTTTTGTTCTAAGGCTTATAATCAATCAAAGGCTAAGCTACAACTATTATGAACACTTAATATTAGTTGAAAAAGATGCTATTTAATTCGACTACAATCCCAAATAATGCAATTTGTTTTTAGTATGGAATTTTTAGTTAGTATACTCCTCTAAGTAATATTACACAATTTGGGGAAATTGGAATTCTGGATAGCAACTGCTATCATATACATAGCGCCATTGGATAATATACCAATAAAATTAACTTTATACTTTATGATTGTATTGATCAAAAAGAATAAACGATTGAGAAGTCAGTTGCATTTATTGGAAGCGATGGCACAATTTACAAATAGTCTTATTAATTAAACCTGGAAAAATATGAAAATTTTTGGTACTTTTTTGGGCTCGTATTCAATCTTAAAGATAATAGCATCACGCTTTATATTTAATAGAAAGAGGTTGTGCTATATACTCAAGATTTTAATGTTTAATATCCATATTAAGATACAGATTTGGAATTAACTTTTGGAGGGGATTTATTTATAAAAAATAATTAAATGTTATATACAGAATTATTATCTAAACTGTCGTATTTTCCTGGAAGGATGATTTATTTATCCCCAGTTTCTTTTGATATAAGTTACAAATGCTAGAGTTCATTTTTGTAGCCGCTTATCATATCAAATTAGAAACTTTGTAAATGTTTTTCTAGCACAATCAAAACCATCCCAGATACGATAATTTAAAAATTAGATCATTCTTAGTTCATATCAGAAACTATAAATTGCGACTCCTATTATTTTTAATCATGGATTAGAATTAAAGAAAGAAAAGTTTTTATTGAAGATATCTATTATCAACTAATAAAAATATCCTCAAATATTCAGAATCCAAAACTTGTAGATGAAAACTTGTCAACATTTTAATTATTTTATAAATTGAAAGGAAAAAACAATCAAATTATAATAACAACTTATAGTTACACGTTGCCAACTGTAAATGTTAACTTTGTGGATACTCCTTATTTAATTACTAAAATATTTGATTTAGATGTAAATATTCAATTATGGCATTTTGTACGAGTTATTAAAAGCTAAAAGTCGATACAAATTAAAATACACTTTTACAACGTATACGAAATCCATTAATACGATTTTGAAAGCATTGTAAATCAATTTAGTTAAGTCCAATTTAAATTATAATATGGTAATTTAAGGTAAACCTTAAACTACTTAACATTTGAGCTTATATCTATGATGTTTTTTAACTGTGAAACAAATCAGGATTCATTGAATTCATGTCATTACTCTTGTAAAGACTGTGATGGTCCAACAAAATATGATTGTTTGTCTTGTGATGAAACTTAAACTAGGATATATTTAGAGGAATATAAGGCTTGTATTTGTGCTTATGGAACTATTGATTCAGATCAATAATGCATTAATTATTAAACGTATGGAGTAAATATTGTTAAAGGATTTTAGGAAATGTTCTATTGCTCATATGGTTATTTTGAATTTGAAGGAAATTGTTGGTAGTGGTACTTATTAATATACTAATCATAGTCCTTCTACAATAAGAAATAATTTAATAACTTGTATAGATTGTGTGATGAATCCAAAAACTTGGATAAAAAATCCCTATTGTTCATTCGATTTTGTAACAGATAATACGTAATCACCTTATTAAAAATTGGATTATAATCGAATATATTATACATTTGATGGAAGTCATTTAAAAGTGTGTGAGCTTTGCGATAACATCCCAGATATATATGAAGATTACTAGAAAACTCAAAATCCTATTTATAATTTCAATTAGAACAGGGCATATGGATAAACTGAGTATCAAAATTCTTAAGATCGACTTTCTTGTTTTTTTTTCAAAGATTGCATGTTTTGTTAAATTGATATATTCAAACCCCAATGTCTTGAATGTAGAATGAACTATGCTAAGAAAAATGATTTTTGTTAACTTTAAACTATTCAGAGTACTATATATTAAATATGTGATGCTCCAAATTATATAAATTTTAACAACATTTGTATCAAATGTCCAATTGAAAATTGCCATTATTGTTTTGAGTACTTTAGAAGTGATTACTACTAAAACACATTATTTTCCTAACAACAATTTAGCACAATTGATGAAGAAATAGTTGTGGGTTGTGCAGAATGTAAATAGGGATTTATATATGATTTTACTATCTAGAAGTGTATTTATTAAGAGCCAAAATTAATTAATTGTCTAAGATCATATATTAATTAACAAGGAGAAGAACTATGCACTCTTTCATCAATAAACGATTTTACAGTTGCTCCTGAAATAACGAATTGTCAAAATACGATATATTAATGTAGATAGTGTGTCTAAACCCCTTAATTTATAGTAAAGTGCATTATTTGCGAAGAAGGATATGGGTCAGCTTTAAATACAGGAATTTGTTACGTAAATGAAAAATTAGTGAATACAAGATATAGCGTTTAATGGTATGATTACACAATCTGGAAAATGATTGTTTAGAGTTTTTCAATAGTATTCATGAAGGGTAATCCTGGACTCTATACATGGTAAAATAGATTGAATTATTATTCTGTTGAATGTTTGCCTGGATATGAAATAATAGCATAGAAATGTGTAAAGTATTGCGATGAAAATTGCCAATAATGTTTAAAGTAAGAGAGTTTATAACAATTTACTTGTACATTATGCTCATTAAATTATTATCAGTAACACTACAGAGTTTAAAAAAATGGAAAATGTTTGGTTTGTCCTCCGCTGTGTTTGGTATGCCAAGAAAGATCCAATGATGACATTTTGGTAGACTAATATATTTTATATTTTAGAGTGTGAACCCTTAATTCAAAATCAAAGAAGCTAATATTTAATTTTCCACTTATTGCGTAAAAAGTATCCCAAATTCAAATGTTTTCATAAACCCATATCTAAAAATTGCCTCATATAATTATGGTGATCCAAGTAAATCTGCAATTTAATATTCAGTAATAAACTATTAATACTATTAGTCTCTCTGGTTTTGCGATAATTTCTTTGGGTCAGAATATTCTGACTTTGAAAATTATTTTGACTTCTCCTATTTAAACGAAATTGGTCTTCAACAATTCATACTTACAATTTAAATACAGATATCATGTCAAGATAAGGTAATAATGAACTCCTTCAAATCCAAAATATTTTCACTCCAATCTTTTAAATTAGAATTAACTGGTATTCCGCACCCTTTAGCTCTCTCTAAGACATTTTATTATTCTAATTTTGATTAAGTTGAAATTAGAAACCTTTTGATTTAGATGAATGAAATCTTGATATTTTAATTCAGTAATAGAGCAGATCCAATAGATTTTCAAATATTTAATGTTAGTTTTTCTTCAAATAAATAAAGATCATCAGAATTCAGGATTCAATTCGATGTTTATAGAGTCTTTCATTTGTATAACGTATCAATTATTGATGTCTCATTTGACAATATTGTTATTTTTGATATAAATTCGATATCTAAGGATGGGAATTTTTTAATAGATTTATTTGTATTGGAGAATTGCTAATTTAATTAAACTACATTGTTTGCTTTTAAAACTATCTAAAAAAAAATAGTTATATAAAACCTTTTTATTAATTAATGTGAATTTAATAGGTCCATTCTGCTTAGTTTTAACTAGGAGGACGATGATTAATCTACTATTGTTATTAGATCGATCACAATCAAGAATTCATTATTTTTTAATACTTCAATTATACAAAGTTTAGAAAAAAATAAGTTTTCTATAGATTAGTTTCAGATGATTGAAAATTAAATAGAAAACTCATCGTTAATCAGAGTTAGTAACGATTTATTAAGCTCTAATGTTGTCCTTTAGAAAAATTATTTTATTAAATCTATCTTGTTTGAAAAGCTATTCTCAATTTCTTATGAAAATTAACTTATATTCAATGAGATCAATGTAACTTCAAATAGATTACATAACTTTAAGGTGCTTACATTTGATTAAATCAGAATACCATATTTAATTTAATTGAAAAATCTAGATTTTATAGAAAACATTAATCCTTAATTGGATATTTAAGATTATTTATTTCAGCTCAGTTCTTCTAATCTCTTAATTTAGAATGTGCTTATACTAAATACTTAAAATCTACGCTATTTTTATTTTTTCAACATCTCTACAATTAAGTTTGAGAATGTTACTGTTTGGAATTAAATCTAAGTTCATAAAATTCCACTTTAATAAGATTGTTTAATCAATCAATACTAACATTCCAAACTTTTATTTGTGTAGGGATTTTAAGAGTTAACTTTGAACTTATTAACTCTGCAAAATTAAATTACTATTGATTAACCTTTGATTGAAATTCTATCAAATGTAGCAATCATATAAGAAAAAACTGAAAAAGTTTTAATCTCAAATTTTAATGCTACTGGAAACATTTTGTTGAAGATCAATTAAGGAAAGGTTTTTTCGATTATTTCAATATTTTCAGAAAAAGTTTAAGAAGTCTTCTTGAAGGATATATTATATTTGCATAATTGTTATCATTAATACATTACAGATCCAACATTTAATTCCGCAAGTTTGTTGTTTATTAACTCACTCCATAGTGCTGTTCTAATTGAAGATATTTAATGCATTGAAAATTCACTAACAAATTCTTCCAATACCTTTATCGCAATTAGTTCTAAGGAGTTAACAATTTTCTCAATCACAGCTTCCCATCATAACTATGTAGGAAAGGAATTTTGGAATTAATACTATGAAATTTAGTTGCAGAACAATCATGATGATATGGAAATTAATTATTTGATTGAATAAGCACTTTCATTTTAGAATATTGGTGGAGTCATGTCTTTGTTGGTTGATACACTAACATTAAAAAAAGCAATATTTTCATACATTATAGCAGAAAGTAGTTCAGTTTTAAGTATCTTCACTAAAGGAAATGGTATGCTAGTTCTGAGCGATTTCAATATTTCTTATTGCTTAAGTAATTTACTCTCAAAGTCTGAGAAAGAAGGATCAATTAGTATTAATTCAAAGGATAGTTATTTAACTTTGAGGTTATAAAATTTTACTTTGAAAAATATCTATAATAAACTAGCCCCAGCTATCCTTTCTATTTAATCTTCAGGGGTGGAAAATGATATTATTATTCAAAATGGAGAAGTTTGGAATTGTTTCTCCTTAATAAATTCATTTTCGGCTATATTATTTAATTCTGAGACTGCTGATTAACATCAAGTGAAAATTGAAAATATTTTAATCCATCAAAGCGAATAAGGCTTACTACAATTTGATTCATAACTTGGACTTTTAGATACTGTAATGCTATCACAAATTGTTTAAGATAATGCCATTTTTCATATTTAAGGGTGCAAATTAAAAATCAATAAATTTGTATTTGAAGGGGTTGCCCAATCCTCGATCTTGAAATTAATTAATTGTAAGACACTGTAGTTAATGGATATTTTTTTGGATAAAGTCACTACATTTTATAATTTGTAGTTGATAAACATTGAAATAGCATCGTAATTCTAGTCAATAATTCAAATTCAAAACTTAAATATACATAACATTAGTTTTTTGTAAATCTAAAATTAGCAATTTTATCTAAATCCAAAATTCTTAGTGAAATATTCAAAATGCAAAACATATTAGCTTATATCACAATCCACTAATAACAAACAGCTAGAGACATAACCTAATAATTTTTAATAGATTTCATCGTATTAGACAAACAAAGGATCAATTTTGTTGATTATTTGTTCAAATAATCAAACAAAAATAAATTTGAAATAGATATCTCTAATAAACAACGATTGCAAATTTTGTTTAAATGGACTAATGTTTATTTAATTAATTGATTTTACTTTAATTAAAATCGATGAATTCTACTGTATAGGAAATAAAATTAAGTAATTTGGGTGTATTTCTGCATTATCTGATAAATAAATGGAAGGAAAATTATTCATTGTTAATTCTCTGTTTCTTAATAATTAAGGAATCCAAGGGACAGCCTTGTCTTCAATAAATGTTAAGACTTTTTTGTTTAATACAAGGATATTGAACAATATTGCAAATTTATTAGGGGGTGGATTATATTTAGATCTAACCAGCAATGAATTTTAGATAAAATTAACAATTATTTAAAATAATGAAGCAAGGGAAGGTGGAGGAATATATTTAAATGGAGATGGCATTTTAAGTCAATCAAATTTTGTTAAATCCCTTCTTGTACTTAATAATGCTTAACTAGAGACAAAAAATCTACAAGAGTTGCCTTCCCATTTAGATATCTCAATAAATTTTAAGACATTGTTTTCAAATAAACAGATAATCAACTCAAAATAAATTAGTTCATTATAATTAAATCCATATAAAATCATCTAACAAGGGAAGTTGTTCATAGCAAGTTCATTAATGATACCAAGTAATTAAGGTATAACAAAGTATTAAATTTATAATCCAAAATATTAGAAATTTGTTAGCTATTTATTTGAGTTCTCTATTTAATTTAAAAATAGCTTTAATGAACTATTATTAAATTATTCCAACTCAATTTGTCGAATAGTTCAGTCAACATTTGATATTAAAACTCTTAAAAAATTAGAATCGACCAACATTACATAAATTTATTATGACTAAAAAACAAACAATTTTAACCTTGGTGAATTAACTTTCAGTTTGGATCCTTATAATTAGAGTGATAAAGTCTTTGAAATTTCTGCCTTCTGTAAAGCAAAAAATTATACTGATGAATTATAGTATAATATCAGAGTAAAAACCTTAGTTTGTTAATTAGGAGAGTTTTATATAGTAGATGGTTGTTCAACTTGTTAATATCAATAAGGATTTTATTCTGTTACATACAACGCTACAAAATGCTCAATATTTGATAAAACAAAATTTGATGCTATTACAGCAAACAACATTTAGTTGAAACCAGGATTTTGGAGACCACATTATTAATCTGATATAGTTGTTGAGTGCTTCAAAAATCTTAATTCCTGCAAGGGAGGTTGGAATGTGGGGGATGAGATATGCAAAATTGGATATATTGGTGGATTATGTGAGGAATGTGATAAATTTAATTTACGGGGAGCTGGATATTATTTTAAAAATGATTAAAATTTGTCATGTCTAAATTGTTCAGACTTCTCTGTTAATTTTGTATCTCTCATTCTTATTGGACTTTGGTACATTTCTTATTTTATTGTAGGGCTATTATTTCTACACTTATAACCTTAAGGAGCGTAGAGAAAACAAATTACTTGTTTATGTCATTTAAAATCAATCAAAAATTTTCAAATATACTATTCAAGCTTAATTTAGGTAAAAGCTTTCATGTAATTATTTTTAGATTAAGAGAGCATCTTATTGAAGATGTATCTAAATTATATGTGGATATTTTCATTGATTTTTACTTTTAACATTCAGTTCTCATTTTAATTTATCTTTGTTAATAAAATGAATGATACATCTTATTTCATGAGTCGTAATTTAGACTGTAAACTTGTATAATGGTTTGGAATTTAATTGTTATATAGTAGAATAATAGTGATGCTCATATTGGTTTTTATTTTAATTTTGGTCACATCATCAGGAATTCACATCTTTTTTATTATAAACAAAATTAAATTCCGCAACAATATAATTTCAATTACCCTACTATATTTGTATATTTAGAATTACGCAGCATTTATAAATCAGTAATATTATCTAACTATCTAAGGCTTCTTTCAATATTGGCAAAAAGATAAATCTCGAATATTGATTATGTTTAAGGAGATGTGTCACTACTCTTTGACTCTTAAAATCACTACTTTTGGATGATTACATTTGCAATGCCGGTTTCACTTTTTATTGGATTGATTTTACCGATCTCATTACTTTATGTTTTGTACATCAACAAAAAATAATTAAACGAAATAAAATTTCGAAGACATTTTGGATATTTAGTTAATGAATATAAAGTCCATAGCATTTTTTGGGAATGGATAAAGTTATGGAAGAAAACAATAATCATTTTTATATTGATATATTTTGAAACCAATACATTTTTAAAAGGATTCTTAATTGTTATGTGCTTAATAATCTATTAAGTTTTTACATAAAAATACTCACCATACATATATGAAAAATTAAACAATTTAGATTTATAAACTGGGTAATTATGCTCAATAGCTATTATTTTGGCTTCTGTAGAATATATCTCAGAGTAGTAAGCTGATTTTCTCAAAGCAGAAATTTTTTAAATTTTGATAATCCTATTGTGCATAGCGCTAAGCTATCCCTTTATTTTTTAAATTCTATTTATTTATTACAACAAATATAAATTATAGGTGTTAATGCTTTTGATAATGATTTTAAGGAAATTATCATTGAAATCATAATTAATATTTAGATTAATTGATAAATTGAATCAATGGAAGTAAAGGTAGGATAGAATATACAAAAATTTCTAAAAGATGCGGTCTCATACTATCTTAAAATAACGTCTTGATAAAGAGAAAAAACGGTAAAATATTCTATTATTAAAGAAAAATTTGTATTGGCGTTCAAAACTTATAATAAACCAAACCTATTAGCGAAAATTTCAAACTTTTTATTCAATGAAAAACGAAGATGCTATGAATTCAATAATATATACAATAAATGCTAAAATTTATTAATCTAATAATTTAATTTTAAATCCAAAATTAACTTACAAATCTGAGCAATGTTGTTTCTAAATTTACTTCATTAATTAAATGTAATCACCCTCGATTACTGGATATTTTATAAATTTTGCAGATATTTCTATATATTTATTATTTTGGCATATCCTTCTTGTTTTAGTGGATTTTATTGATTTGGAGCATCACTTGTTAATTGAATTTATACCTCTGTTAGTCTGCTTGTACAATTCACTCAGACTTAATCCTGATAGATTTTAATATGTATCTGCATTTTGCTGTCTATGATTGCAGCGAACGGCAATTATATCCAAGGATTCGTATACAACGATCACATGGTATTAATATTGGAGTCCAACTAAAGTGTAAAGTCTTGCAAGGTATTTGAATCAACAAAAATAAACAACGATTGTTGAAGTGATGGTTTATTGTTACCAACCATCTCTCAGGGAGTTTAAGTAAGGTACCCTTAGTATTTGAATTACTTTTATCTAGAGTTAATTTAGATAAAAGTGGTTCAAATTATGCTTGCAATTTCTAATGTCGATGGCAGGATATTATGGTGCCTTACTTCAATGATCTACAACCTTTTAAACTCTAATTATAACAAGCACTAACAACCCAAGTATGTGTTACAATCATTTTAGAATTGAAAATTTTTTATTGCCAATCTTTTAGATTTAAGCACAGGCAGACCATTATTGTGATAATTCAGCAACATTAGGAATTGTTTCAACATATTTTTGGTATGACACAAATAATGTAAGGCGATATGAGTGTCATCAGTCAACATCTAAATGTTGAAATGGACTACCGTTGCATTACTCTAAATATTGAGAAGTCTTTAAAAATAGAAGTATGAAATATTTTCTGATATATAACCTCTAAACTTGAAGAGAAATTTATACATGTGTTATAACTTGGTATGGAGATGATGAACTTTATTGTTCAGTCAAGTATCTTTTATAGTGTCCTCAATCATTATTATAACTGCTTAAATGTTACTATGCCTCAACTACCTATATACAACAACATGTACAGCGATGATGACTTATTTTTTTAATAGTGAAACCAGTTTTGAGCTATTATAATTTAAGTCCAATTCTTAATTAATTAACTAAAGACCTTATGATGGCTCCCTCTTATCATCTGTCGTTATTAAACTCATCTTTTTTAGAGTACTATACAACAATTTTTAGATTATATTTATTGGCTAATCAGATTTTCATTAACTTCTAATCTATCCTTGCTTGCTCGAGATACACTAGAGGTTGATCATTTTTCATATATTTTGCTAACATTAATTATGCCTCTATCTTATCAACATCGATAATATTACAGCTCTAGACATAATTGTTACTTTCTCTACTTTAATTTCAGAAAAACAGTACAGATAAAACAAATCTGAGCTATGATAGGTACAACATGTCTGATTAAAAGAGCTGAACAAATGATCTCATAATTTGTTATTATATATTTTCATAATCTAGTTAATGGAAAAAGAGATTTAAACCTATGTCAATTATAAGCAAACTTATTTATTCAAGTAGGTGTATTGCTTCTTTTGAAAGGCAACAATTTATGTGTGCCTTGAAATGCGTTTGTGGATATTATGTTGAGATAAATTGCATAAATAATTGCACAACAACACTTCATTTACTATCTTGGTTGGGATAAATTTATGAATAAATTTAAATAATGAGAGAGAAAAGTGGAACTATAAATTTGGCAGTAATCACTGGTTCAACCAAATGATAACGATTTACATCAAGTGCAAGCCCATTACCTTCTGTCCAATTTTTACTTATCAGAATAGTTATCCAATGTTCCAAGTAATTAATGTTGAGAAGAATAATTAATAGATAAAATTATTAAAAATAAGCATTTAATGAAAGGTAAAATGCATTTAGACAAGTGACAACTAGTTAATGCAGCTGAGTTGCAGGTTAAGGGTTTGGTTAAAACGAACCCTCTTAGTAACTTAGATATCTTGTGAGACACGAAGGCAAAAAATCCCCGGCGGTGAATTCCAGAAGACCTTCACGTGAAGGCAACAAGTCCCGCGGACCTCCTAGAGGAAGACCTTCACGTGAAGGCAACAAGTCCCGCGGTTTTGGGTTTGGGTTTGGGTTTGGGTTTGGGGTTGGGTTTGGGTTTGGTTTGGGTTTGGGGTTGGGTTGGG